GATCACCCCTGCTGGCTGGGCCGGCCAAGTCTCCAGCTTTGAGGAGGAAAAGGAAGGGCCAAATTGCTATTTGTTAACAAGGCACGTTTCGTGCAAGGCAGCTCTAAAGAAATCTTAAAGTTACGGATTGGATAAAGGATTGAAAAAGAGGTGCAGAAGAATCAAGCCGACCCAGGGCTGACAAGGACACAAATGTTTTGTGCAGCACAAGGCCTCCCTCCCAGGCATCCCTGCTCCTGCCTCAGAACCAGGCAGGGGCTGACCCCAAGTCGTCTCCCCACAGGCCCTTTGGCTCCCCACCTGCTTGGCAGGGAGGCTGCTCCGCTTCAGGCGTCCTGGCTCTGGGGCCTGCTTGAGCTTCTGCCTTCTCACTTTTAACCCGGGTGGTCTGCAGGGCACAGAAAGCCAGGAAAACCGTGGGCTGCAGCTGGTCCATGCCAGAATCCACAGCCCCATCCTGCTCGGTGCCTGCCTGGGGGCATGCCGGAGACGCCGAGCCAGGAAGACAAGGGCCACTCTAGCCCACCTCCAGGACTGTCTCCACTATGTTTTGCAGGGCCCCCAGCAGGCAGTCTTCCAGTTCCCCGTCGGAGGGAAAGAGCACGAGCTTATTCTCCGCACTGAACACCAGCTGCACTCGGAGGACGGCTTTCCGGGTGGAGCCATCGGCCTGCAAGGGGAGAGGTGAGAACAGGGGTGCTCTTCGGTGCTGGGAGCCAAAGAGTGGAGCGTCCCTGGATGTTTTACTTCCTCTCTTCCCCCCTCCCCGCAAATGGCAGCCTCATCACCAATTCTTCCCTCCCCCTCCCCTCCACGCCCCCCTTTCCTGAGGCCAGACCTGCATGGTGCAATTGACGAAGGTGGAGACTTCCTGGTGCATCACGGAGATGAGGGTCTGGCACACGAGGAAGTTCACCAGCAGGGCCAGGGCCCCCAGGTCCCGCAGCCAGGACTCGGCCTCTCGCAAGCGGCACTGCAGCCTCTCGAACTCCACCCGCTGCTGGTAGGGGGACTCTTTGGTGATGTACAACTTGTAGCCCTGCACTTCCATCTGCAGCCCATGGACCATCTTGTAGGTGTCATCCCGCACCTGCCGGCCTCACACACAAAACAGCGGAAGCCACTGAGAACCCCGGGTTCCTTTACCTGCACAGGGATCGTTCACCTTGGCAAACCCAGTCTGAAAGTCCTCCAACGTTGCAGGCCTAGTCTGCCGAGGGAGGGGAAGATTACCCACATTTACACACCGCTGAAAAGAGACCAATAAAAAGCCAGGAAGGAGACAAACGGAACACACCCTCTCCAGCAGCCAACCCAGAAGAAGCAGGGTTAAACACAGACAAACGATCAAGCAGAAAGCAATCTTTCATCAAGACGCTGCCCGTACCAGGAGAAGCCCAGAGCCCTCCAGCCCTGGCTGGGCAAACTGTGGTATATAAACAGGGAGCAAACCCCGCACTCACTACTGTGATTGTGTGACTTAGTCAGGTAATGAAACGCTCGCAGCAGCTCGGAGAGCAGCAAGGATATCTGCAGCAGTTAAACGCAGGAGCCTTCCTGTATAATTAATCAACCACTGAGTGGCCACTTTCTTCCCAGGCCTTTCTCAACTTCAGAAAACCCAGCGGGTAGAAGAGAGAGCAGGAAGAACAGAACATCGCCTGCTCCACAGTTGACCCCTACAAAAGTGAATTTGCAAAGTCTCTCTTATTTAAGACAGAAGCTTGCAAACATGTTGGGAGATATCAACTGACTAAAACTCTTCACTTGTAGGAGCTGCTGGTTGCGCTTTAATCTGTGATTAGAGAGTTCAGTTCACCGAATACAGGAAAGAAACAGCTGGGTCCGTGGGATGGATGTTGGGGGCTTAAGAGTAAGTAAACCTAAGAAGCTGCATTTTTGGGGGTGCTGTCTTGTCATTTAGGGTGGATTGCTTTTTCATTCTTAGTTTCTTGGAGTCTTATAGAGTGCATGTTCATTACAACATACAAACGTTAAGTTAAACTGCCTTGCTGAGATATGCTCCCCACATCAGCTCACAACCACTGACCAGGCTGCGTCTCCAACGTAAAATGTAACAATAGTTAAAATGATATTTATTTTCTTTGGTTCTTGCAATTTAATCCAAAGCCTTCCCTGGGAGAAAGCAGCCACCTCTAGAGGCAGAAGGGGGTCTTTGCCATGCAGAGCCTGAGCCCCTTGGGCCTTTTCTCACCCCTCCTCTGCAAACACCCCCTCCTCCCCCTTGCAAGAGCCCCTGTCCCTCTGAGGGGGGGGGCAAGGCTCACCAGCTCCAAGATGGAGGTACAGAGGCAGAGGAACCTGTGCAGGAGCCCGTCCGCGTTGCTCTTCATGTGGGCCAGGGCCCGTTTGAGTTCAACAAAGTTGTAACATCTGCTGGTGTCCGTTGGCAGCCAGTGGACGGCTTGCAACTCCTGCAAGAGCCTAGAAATTAAAGAGAGAAGCCTCTGCAAAGGCCGACAAGCAGCAGAGGAACCCCTGTGCCGGGACCTCTTTGCTGCCTTCTCGGCCTCCCAACCTGGAGATATGAAGAAGTGCTGCTCCAAAATGGGGCACTGCTTGAAGCAACTGGAGGCTCAGCTTCTCCCGGCACTTCAGGTACTGCAAATGTTTGACGTTAAAGTACCACCTGGGGGGAGGGGGAAGAAGTACCAGCTGAGGAAGGCTGAACTACCTTCCTCCCAGCAACTCTCCACAGGGAAGAAGATGCAGGGGGCACCTCCTGATCCCCCCTCCTTCTCCTCACCCCCCACCCAAAGCTTCCTACCGAGTGAAGGCTTTGCGGACCAAGAAAAGGCGGAAGAAGGGAATGAACTGCATCAGCTGCCACAGCCGGGCCTCCCGATGCCAGTCGCCCAAGGAGAGGGCCTCGGAGCCCTCCTCGGGATGCACGCACAGCACCCCGAAGGGGGAGAAGACGTAGTGCTGGGGCTTGAGCAGGTACCCCGGAACGGTCACTAGGTCGTAAGGCCTGCAGCCAGGGCGGGAGGAGGAAGAGCGCCATGGAAGAAACCCCTCCGCTACTCCCGGCGGCCCAGCCTACAGCCCCGGCCCTTCCCAGCCCCGACACGAGCGTCCCTTCCGGTCAGAGCCCGGAGCCGAAAAGGTCCCTGACTAGCCCGCAACCCCGCACGAGCCAATCGCGCCCGTCCCCGGCATCTCCGCGGGAACCGCAACCGGCGGCTCTCTCGCAAGTTGCCCTCCGGCCGGGAAGGTTGGGCAGCCGGGCAGGGAGAAGAAGGCCGGCCGGTGGGCGCTGCCAGACCTCCCCGCGCCTGCAGCAAGCGCAAGGGCAGAGGGAGCCTCGGGCGCGACGCAGTACCTGAAATGCCGGTTCGGGGCCGTGTTCAGGTAGAAGAACCGGATCTCCCCCGCGTGGTACCTCCCGGAGAGGACCTGGGCTGCCTGGAGCCCGCTCATCGGGGGTTGCCTGTCCGCCGCGGGCGAGCGGGCGGGGGGAGGTCCGAGACAAGCGACCGCGGCGGACTCCAGGGAGGGGCTGCGGCAGGAATTAGGGGCGGGGAGGGGGGGCTGGTCAGCGGCGCATGCAGCCCCCCTCTTCACCGCCTCCCCCCTCCCCTGCCTGCCTCCGGCGGGGCTCACCGGAGGGCGGAGGCGAAGTCGACGGGCAGGGCGGCGACCAGGGCCAGGGGCAGCATGCCCAGCCCGTCCTCCCACGGGGCTTCCCGGCGGGCCAGCCGCCCGCCCACCGGCCCCACGCAGCGCTGCAGCTCTGGCAGGGAGACGGGCCGGGGGGCAAGCAGGCCGGCGGCGAGGGCGTCCCAGGCGGCGCGGAACGGGCAGGGCAGCCCGGCGAAGACCGGCTCCGGGGCGGCGGGCAGGCGGCGGGCCTCGGCGGCCAGGGCCAGGGGCCAGGGGGGCTCGGAGCCGTCCCGTGGCGCCGCGCCCTCTCGGGGGAAGGCCCTGCGCAGCGCCCCGAGGAGGTCCAGGTCGGCCAGCAGCGCGCGGCTCCCGCCGGCCTGGTAGCGCAGGGCCCGCAGGTAGGCGGGCAGCGGGGCGCGCCCGGAGAGCAGCCCGCGGAAGGGCGCGCAGAGCCGCAGCGCCTCCAGGAGCCGCAGCCAGGCGCGCCGCCCGCCGCCCCGCAGCACCGCCCGGCACACGGCCAGCAGCTCGGCCAGCAGCGCCTCCACCTCCCGCGGCTCAGCGCGGCCCGCCTCCCGCAGCTGCGTGGCCAGGCGCCGCCGGGGGGAGCGCGCCCAGGCCGGGTCCGGGAGAGCTCCGGGGGAGTCGGCGGGCGGCGTCTGGGGCAGCCCCGGGACGGGCGTCTGGGCACCCGGCGGCTCCATGGCGGCTGGGCCCGCGTTGCTAAGGCCGCGCGCGGCGTCGCTATGGAGCCCCCAACGGCCCGCCCCAGCGCGCCCCCTGCGGGCAGGACCGGGCGTCGCGGCTGCGTCCGACTCGCGTCCTTTCTCCGTCAGCCTGCTGGGCCTCGAGCCTCGGCCCGCGGATGGCGCGCGGCCTTTTTATTTAATCTTTTTAGTTTTCTGGTTTTCTTTTTAACTTTCCTTTCAACTATTTACCTTTTTTAATATATAATAGCTATTTGGCTATTGTAACCCGCCCAGAATGGTGAGATGAGAGCGATGTATAAATCTGATAAATTCCATTTTCCCTGTCAGACATCCCCCGTCCAGAAAAATGTGTATTTACGTCTCTAACAAGATTCCTAACTTTACAAACATTGCAAGTTTCCCTACATAGATCAAACAGAGTGGACTTCACACCCCCCCCACACCCTTTGCCTCACCTGGGCAATCATCCCAGGGGCTCTTACTGCATTTAGCAACCCGCCTTCATCTCCATATTCATCCATATTCATTTTGTTTTCACAAAAGTGCTATAAAATTTGTCTTGCAGGTGATGATCTCAAGGGATAAATCCCACAATTGGTCAGTGTTCCTATACATAAAATATGAAATTCTTGCCAAATCAGATTGATTACTAGACTCAAAGTTTTATCCGTTTCTTTCATCATTTAATACAATCCAAAAAACAAGACTACATAATTGTTGTGGAACTCCTTATATTATATATCTAGAAAATGAGGTCATTACTCAATTTAAAATGTAATAAAACTCAATCCAACCAGTTGTGTCTTGTTAATCCAGGCCTCATCATTAGACCAGACTAGAAAAAAGCAGTGGCAAACCACTCTTCCACCGTTGCCCCAAAAACTATGCTGTTACCAGAAGCCAGGAAGTTACCCTTCCTTTGAACAGAGTTGCAGCTCAACACATTGTCCAGAGGGTTCCCAGAGGTTGAACATGGTTAAATTAAGGGGCATTCCTCCCTACATCTGGCCAGACTACCTGCTTTGCTTGAACAGATCTAGGGGAAGGGAGCCTCTCGCCTCCCTGGATCCCGGGGACCACCGTGGAGCTCTCCCAGCAAGGCTCTGCAATGGGGCCTTTCAGTGACTTGATATTCCTACCTTTCATTCCACATGGCAAGTGAGGGAGAAGGGTATTGGTCCCGCTGCCGCCAGCCTCAAAGTAATAATCCCTTGGGCATCTTCTGTCCAGCCAATTCCTCAGCAGCGCAACAACTGGCCTTCAGCAGCACTGCCCTCTGGCCATCACATTCTGGGAGCTTGTCTGGCAATTTCCCCCCTGAGGCCACCAATCCGCAGACCCTCCCTGTTGCATTTGAAGCAAGCGTGCCTGGGGAAAACCAAATGCTGTGGCTGAATCCAGCCCAGACCAGGTGTGCTTAAAACTCACTTAAGCATAACAATGGAGCAACCACACAGGCACAGGTAACAGGGAGCTAAACGCACCCCGGGTTAGGGGATTTCTGAGGCCATTTTGAAGAACCAAGACCACCCAAGGGGCCTTTTAGGCCATCCAATCCCATCGCTGCCCATTCTAGGTTGTCGGAGTCCTCTTTCAAGCAGACGCTCCAGGGCCGGGCCAGGATCCTTTGGGTAGGACTGTTTTAGGCTCTAGCCTCCACCTCGGCTTGGGAAAGGGTGAATAAGCCTCTGGCAAGAGGAAGTGTGGGGGGGTCAGCAGACGCAAAGAACCTTGAGGGTTGGGTTTCAATGGCTTTCAAGGGTCTTGGCCAGGAGACTTCTCAGTCATTGAAAGCTCCTCCTGACCCACTCTGGGTGCCCGGTGAGAAGGAGGGCCGCATTCCGCTTGTGACCCAGGAGGACTCCAAGGCACTCTGAAGCAGCTCACCTCTCCTGTGTTTTTCTAATGGAAGGGGCCTGTCTGGGCTCCTCTCATCACCCACCCAAATGTGTCCCCCTGCTCCAGTCGTTGCAGTCGCTGCTTCCTCCTCCTCCTCAGGAGAGGCCATGGCTCCCCAAGGCCGGGAAGGCTCTGGGGGGGCTCGGGGGAGTCAGCAGAGTCCATCGGAGGAGACCCGCGCCCGCGGGGCTTCCCGGCGTTCAGCGGCCCCGCAAGGGCGCCCTTCGGGGCTCCGTCCCAGCGGGCGAGGCGGGTCAGGAGGCGTCGGGCCCCGGGAGGGCGGCGGGGTCGCGTCCGGCGGCCTCGTAGTCGGCGATCCTGCGCTGGACCAGGGAGGGCATCAGCTGCACGTAGGCGGCCATCAGGCGGTGGTTGGAGCGCACCAGCTTCCCGGCGCAGCAGTCCAGGCAGGCCTCCTGCGGGGAGAAATTGGGCGGGACGGGAGGGGCTCGCTCGCTCCCGGACCACCCCTGCCCGGACCCCGCCGCCCCTCTCCCCCGCCCGGCCCCACCTCGTCCCGGGTCAGCGCGCGGTAGTTGAGGTCGGCCACGCAGCGCTGGAAGCAGAGCTCCGTCATCCGGTTGTAGACCAGCAGAAAGTCCCGCAGCTGCAACGAGAGCGACGCCTCAGCAACCCCGCCCCGCCCGAGAGGGGGGGGGCGCAGGGGGCCGGAGGGAGGGAGGGAGGGAGGGAGGGGGAGCGCTTACGCTGCGCAGCTGCTGCGTCTCCGGCGCGGAATCCTCCATGCGGGCTCGCCGCGCTGCCCTCCGCTCCCAGTGACGCCACTTCCGCCACATGTGCTGACGTTGCTTCCGGCCTGCCTGGGCTGGGGCCGACGCGCGTCCGACAGACGCCGGAGCCTCCGGGGCCGGCCCGCAGCGGGTGAGCGGAGACCGCCGGGCCTCGCCCGTCGCCCGGGTCGCGGGGGGGAGGCGGGCGGGGGAGCTGGCGGGGGCTGCCCGGGCTGCGGCACGGGGCCCCGGGGGGGGGGAAGGGGCGGCGGTCGCGGCTCCTGCCCCCGGAAGCGGCCTCGTCGCGCCCCCCCCCGCCTCGCTCTTCCCCGGCCGGTGCTGCGGGCGCCCGGCCGGGCGGCTCCTTTCCCGGGACGGGGCTCTCGCGGGGTAGTCCCGGGGGGGGCGACCCGGAGACGCCAGGAGGCTCCTCCGCCGCGGAAACCGGAGCCCGATCTGCGCCGGGCTCCGAAAGCCCCGGCTCCCGCTGGCGCCGGCGGGGAGGGTGGTGGTTGTGCCCCGCGGGAGAGACGGGAGCCCGCCGACAGCTGCCGGCCTTCCCCCGCGAGCAGGGCGAGGGCGGCCCCGCTCGGCCGGCCCCGCTCGGCCGGCCCGGTGCGGCTGCGGTAGGGAGGCGTCCTCGGCCACCGGTTCCCCCGTCGCCCGGGCCTCTGCGGGAGGCTGTAGCACCGCACCGGCCCCGGTCTGCGCCCCGGTGGAAGCCCTCGCAGGGTTGCGGGTGGGCGAGGCGAGGCCAGGCGGAGCGGCTCAGCCCGCCCTCCTCGCTGCCCCCCAGGCACCGCCAGCACCAAGCATGAGCGAGGGCCCCATGAGCAAGGCAGCCACCATGGAGATCCCCATCCACGGCAACGGAGACTCCCGGCGCTTGGCGGATGACGACGGCTTGGAGCAGGTATGGGAGTCGGGAGAAGGGAGAGGGCGCTGGCAGAGGAGATCAGATCCTGGATGCGTCTCCCTCCGGCCTAGAAGAAGCCTCATCGGTCTGGAAGGGGGGCAGGAAAGAGCAGAAAACCCACGTTGCAAAAAATCGGGCTCCTCTCCATCCTGCCAGATCCCATTTGGAGTCTGGTTACGCTTAACCTCCTAGGAAAGGCTGGCCACGCAGAAGAGGGAGGGGAGCTGCGCTCCGTGGCCCAGGGAAGGCAGTTCAGGCTAGATACGGGCAAGGAAGTGGCCAGTCCGCCTTTCCTAGAGGTTCCCAAGCAGAATGTAGAACATAGAGTAAGAGAGTTGGAAGGGACTGTCTGAACGGCCCTATACCGTTCAGACAGATGTTTGTCCAGTCTCTTCTTAAAAGCCCCCAGTGATGGAGCATCCACAACTTCTGGAGGGAAGCCGTTCCGCTGGTTAATTGCTCTCACCATTAGGAAAGGTGCTGTCTATCGGAGAGGCTCTAGCAGGGGGGCAGGGGGGGGCGGGTTGAGCTTGTTCAGGTTGCAGAACCCTCTAGTTAAAATAGATTCCCAGAGTTCCTGGTCAAGAGGCGAAGCTCTAATGACAGGATTCTCCTTTTTGAGGGATCAGGGCTTAGGACTCTGCAGAATGCCCTTTGGAAAATCCTCCTCTGGTGGACCTTGCCCTGAGCAGAGGCTGGACTAGATGCTCTCTCGTGTCTACTCCAACTCTGACCATATGAAAACATCAGGCGGGCAGCCTCTTCTGCTGGGTGCCCTCCTCCCCATAGCTTTGACCCCTGAGAATTCTCGCTGGCCAGCCAAGTGCAGAGTCCAGGCCCTGGGAAAAGGCCGGCTGGGCTGGACCTGGGAGCTGAGTTGAGGGGAGAAACGGAGAGGCCTGGGGGAAGCGGCTGAAGAAAGGGGGTCCTTCCTAAAGCTTGGCGGTTTGCAGTGAGTGGCGAGATTCCCATTGTCAACAGGCCAGCAACAGCAAAGATGCCACCTAGTGTCGACTGGGGTTCCTTGAACATGGCATCCCTGCTGGGGAGACAGCTGGAGGTTTGATTCCTGTCCCCCCCCCCTTCCCTAGGACTTACAGCAAGTGATGGTGTCAGGGCCCAACTTGAACGAGACCAGCATTGTCTCTGGAGGTTATGGGGGAACGACTGAGGGCATCGTCCCCACCAGCATCATCAAAGGTCAGCATTTGCAGGGGCTGCTGGGGGGGGGCGCTGCCTCCGCCATTGCACAGCTTTCTCAGCCTGGGGGTTGAGACCGCTTGGAAGCCCCCTCCCCTGTGCAGGCAGCCATGTCTGTCCCCCCAGCTCCTTTGAGGTGAGAGGGAGCCGGGCACCTTGGGGGTCCTCTTTCACTGTCTCATTGCTCCTTTGGAATGCCACCTCCCATCCTCCTCCTCCTTTTGCCCATTTGTCACGCGCATCGTCCCCCCCCTTGTGTTCTCTCACCCCCTCCGGTGTGGCTCCCCTCCGCTCCCCTCCATTTCAGGCCCCCTCGTTCCATCTCACCTTCCCCGAGGACCACTCATCTCCCCCAACCCTTCAGCTGCCAGCCGCATAGCCAGCCAGGCTCCCATGGCCACAGGTATTGTCCTGCGTGGGGCCGGGGGGGGTCTCTGGAGTAAGGGGGGGCTTTGTGGCCCTTTCAGTGGGGAAATGGGTGAGGTTGGGGGGAAGGGGGTCGACGTCTTTCTGGTGGACATCCTTCCTTGCCAACTGCAGGCTCCAACTTGCACCAGCCCCACCCCAACCCAGCCATGACGGGGGAGGAAGCGGCGGCGGCCGCCACGCGAGGAGTGGCCGTGGAGAAGCTTGACATTGTCAGGAAATGGGGCATCAACACCTACAAAGTAAGCCCCCTTTGGGGTGGGGGGCCATGTCGGATCAGGGCCCTGGACATTGCAGGGCTCCCACTGGCTCCTGCGTGCCCTCGGGTCCCTTCCGGGGCTCTGCGGAGGGTCTCCGTGTGCGGCTGTGACAGCCAGCGGCAAGAGATGAACTTCCCTGGCTGCTTGTGGGGACCTTGGCTGGAAGGCAAAGGCAGCCTCTGCCCAGGCAGCTGCCCTGAGTGGGCAGAGGGCCGTTGGGTCGCTCTCCTGGCCAGAGTGTGGCTCTCCTGCAGCCCCCTTCCCTCCGAGGCAGCTGGGCTGCAGCCGCCAGCCCCTCAGCGCCCTTCCTCAGATCTTGGCCGTCTCTGTTCCTCTCGTACCTTGATTTCCGCGGTTCTGGCGGCTTTCAGGGCCCGCTCTTCCTGGAGGCATCACGAAGCGAGGAGGGTAAGAGACCCTTTCCCGAAAGCCAGCCTGTTCTCTGCTCTTCCCTCGGGCACCCGCTCAGTGTACCAAGCAGCTGCTGTCGGAGCGCTTTGGCCGTGGCTCGCGGACCGTCGACCTGGAGCTGGAGACCCAGATCGAGCTGCTGCGCGACACCAAGCGCAAATACGAGTCCCTGCTGGGCCTGGCACGGGCCCTCACCAACCACTTCTACAGCCTCGTCCAGACGCAGCACGCCCTGGCAGACGCCTTCTCGGACCTCAGCCAGAAGTCCCCTGAGCTGCAGGTGAGCACACCTCTCCCTCCCCCCCTCCCTCCCTCCCTCTTGGTGGGCATGCCAGGCTGATTCGCACCCTGCTGCAGGGAGCTGCTGTTCTCGAGGGGGGGGAGGAAGAGGCAGGCTCTGAACGGCTCTTCTGCCCCGGGGCTGAGCGACCTGCCCCAGAGAGGTAGGGCAGGGCTTTCAGCCTGGAGATGAGGCCTGAGGAAGGGCACAGCTGGGGTGGATGTGCGAGGCAGGAGGGCAGCTTCCTCCTTTCCAAACCATCCAGAGGAGGCCAAAGCTTCCTGCGCCCCCCCCCCCGGCTTATTCCTCCCCCTCTTAAAGCAAGAGACAGCCCTCCCTCCGGGGCAGAGCAGGCGCAGCTGGTGGGTGGGGGTCCCGTGTGGGAGGGGCTTCTTCCGTCTCTTCTGGCCCTCCTCACAGGAGGAGTTTGGATACAACGCCGAGACTCAGAAGCTGCTGTGCAAGAACGGAGAGACGCTCCTGGGAGCCGTCAACTTCTTCGTCTCCAGCATCAACACCCTCGTCAACAAAACCATGGAGGACACCCTGATGACGGTCAAGCAGTACGAGACGGCCAGGTGGGCCCTCCCTGGGGGGCCTCGGGGGTAGGAGGTCGGGGCAGGGCTGCTGTGGCCCTTTGACCTTCTGCCCCCCTCCCTTCCCCCCCGGTGCAGGCTGGAGTACGATGCTTACCGCACAGACCTGGAGGAGCTCAACCTGGGGCCCCGGGATGCCAACACGCTCTGCCGCTTGGATGCCGCCCAGGCCAACTTCCATGCCCACCGCGCCAAGTACGAGAAGCTGCGGGCGGACGTGGCCGTCAAGCTGAAGTTCCTGGAAGAGAACAAGGTGAGCCTGGCCGGTGGGCATCACTGGCCCTGCGGAGGGAACCGCTCTGAGCAGGGGCGCTGGTGCCAGCTGGGCCCTGATCTGCACCCCCCCCCCCGCCAGGTGAAGGTGATGCACAAGCAGCTCCTGCTCTTCCACAATGCCATCTCGGCCTACTTCGCCGGGAACCAGCAGCAGCTGGAGCAGACCTTGAAACAGTTCAACATCAAGCTGAAGAGCCCTGGGACCGACAAGCCCTCCTGGCTGGAGGAGCAGTGAGCGGGGTCTCCCCCCCCCCCGTGCTCCTCCCACCCTTCGTGGACTCAGAGGGAGGGTCCTGCCGTGGGGCCCTCTCCTCTCTCATGCCCCTCCGGGGCTTGTTTAAGTCCTTTCCCATTTCGGGGGGGGGGAGGGTTGGAGCAGCTGAGCCCCCTCCCCCATTCCTCTGCAATGCCAGGAAACAAGCACTTTCTTACTCTGAGGGTGGGGGGAAGGGCGCCCCCGCCTGCCCCCAATAATGGTCTCTGCTGGGGGATCAGGTCCAGTCGGTCCCAGCCACGGTCCGTGTCTCCTGGCTGGCCTTGGGCCTCAACCCCTCGGCCTGCTCTCCCTGTGGACTGGGGGCCGCTCTCTGACCCTGCCCCCCCCCACCTTCAAGGAAGGCAGCTATGGGTTGATGGCATTGGACCTATGGGGGCTACTCCGGGGGTGAAGAGCCCAAGATGAGATTGGCCCCCCATTTGGGGGGCCAGGGACCAAACACTTCCTGGCTCCAGCCTCTGGGGAAGGTGTGTGCGTGTGTGCGTGTGTGTGGTATGTGCATTCATCATGGCCAGTGTCCCATATTGTGTTCCGGGTGGGGGCTGCGGGTGGCAGACTCCGGCCGTCCACCCGGCTGGCCCCGGCCGACACTCCAGCCCCGACCTCTGTAAAGATTCCCCAATAAACGGTACCAAAATGGCTGCAGCGCAGAAGTCTCTGTACGGAGCCCAGGGCGGAGGATGGCACCAGGGGCAGCCCGGCAAAGGGCAGGTGGCTCTGCCATCTAGTGCCCCCCTGGCTAGCAGAAAAGGGGCAAAGATCCCAGTCCTGCCTGCTGGAGGGGGGTCGCCCCTTTGGCTAAGCCCTCTCCTCCCAATTGTTTTGCAGCCAGTCAGTGCATTATCCGGGGGGGGGGCTGGGGGCAGGTGGCTGCTGTCAAAGGGGCAGCAGCTGCCAGGGAGCCACGCATTGAGCCCCCTCTTGGCTTAAGGTTGTTACAGTGGGAATTGCTGGTCACGGCTGGCAGAGCCTGAACCGGCCGTGTGCTGCAGCTGCAACGGGAGCCAAGCCCGCCCTGGACCGCATCAGCAGATGCCAGGCTGAGGTGGTGGGGCAGCCCTGCTCTGCTACCCTGCCCCCAATGGCCACGTCCCCTTCCTGGGGCCACCACCCAAGGAGGGTCTGGCCAAGGTCTCTCCTGTACTCAGAGGGGCTGGTGGAGCTTGGTTGGTTCAAGCTGAGGAAGAGAAAGGAGGCCGAGGGACACGTGAGTCTCAGGGCGGGGATTTGGGACAAGAACCATGGAGCGATGCAAGGATCTTGGCAGGCTGCAGCTGGCGCACTGCTCCACATCCCTTGGACAGACCAGCTGGGGGCTCTTATCCTAAACTAAACCCTGAAATCTCCCACAGCAGATCCAAGGCTGTATGTATGTATGTGTGTGAAAGCACATGATTCACTTCACTTCTGGTCCCCCCTTGGCTGCCCACAACGCCTGCTCCTTGTTCTCCAGGATCAAAGTGGAGCTCCACGTCTCTCCTCTGAAGCCCTGGATTTCTCTTTTCCTAAAGAGAGAATTTTACTTCTAAGGCAATTCTGTTCTGGTATACTTAGCCTACCTCTGTACCCACTGAAGGTGTTTTTAATTTTATTTCTTCAGCCAGTTAGGGATGAGGTGAAAAGTGAATTGTTAATCAGAAGGTCACAGGCTGCTTTCTAGGAATGCCATCTCAATCATACAAGGGCAAGCAAGCTAAAGAAATTAGACATAATTCATACAAAGGCAGCCTAGCTGCAGTGCCCTCCATTTATTTCCCGCCCTCCCAATCTTGCAAGCCACCCTGGCTCTGACCACACCTAAGAACAACTTCATGGGTTGCCTTTGATTAAATGTCTTTTTTAGAGGATTGATTTATTCTCCAAAGCACCAGAAGGCAGGACAGGAAGCAACGGATGGAAACGAGGAGAGAGAATTAAGGAGAAATTTCCATCAGGGAGAACAGTCAGTGGAACGGCTTCCCTCTAGAAGTTGTGGGTGCTCCAACCCTGGAGTTTTAAAGAACAGACTGGACAACCATTCAACTGAAATGGTACAGGGTCTCCTGCTTGAGCAGGGGGTTGGACTAGATGACCTCCAAGGTGCCTTTCAGCTCCGGTACAGCCACGGCTTCCTCAATTCTCCCAGGGTGTGTATTTTGGTATTTGATCCTCACTCACTCTTGCCCAGAAGCAAATCACCTCAACCTCATGACGCCTGTCCGTCCCCTCCTGGAGCAGCAGCAGACACATTGGCAGCCCAAATCCACAGCATTCAGCAGCTACCCTGCGGCCCTTTTGGCTTGTGATTCACAACAGAACACGGCACAATTTCTCAACATTTTGCCACCTCTCTTCACATTTTTAATTACCAAAGTGCACAAATTCGTTTATTTGCTGTGACTTTTAAGCCTCCCGTGTGCTTATCCATTAAGACGTCAAGCGTCGCAGGTTCTTGTTTTCCTGGGTGCAATTCCTGAATCCCTTCAATTTCACATGTGTAGAACTGGGCGGCCTCCGGGAAACCATAAAATGAAACCCCTGAACATGGTAAAAAAATGAGAAGTACTATAAGGGAGGCTGGAGGAAGGGAACAAGTGCAGGGATAGCCCAGCAGTGCACAGCTAAATGTCTAGGGAGATTTCCAGTCATCCAGGCCGTGGTTGCCCCAGAGGTGCTTTTCCAGAGCTGAAGAAGCTTCTTGGATGAGAAGCGAAGCGTCTTCAAGAAAAGAACCAAGTCCAGTTACCTTTTGGGAAAGCATCTTCAGAACAACCCAGCCAACATTAAGCTCCCAGAGCTCTTGGAGCAAGAAGGGGCCAGCCCCGTCCCAGAGAGGGCCCCATCAACTCTCCACTGGGCAGGCCTCGGTTAGGCCCTTGGGGAAGCTGGAAAGAGAGATTCAGCCTGGAAATAAGGAATTTCCTGACGGGAGAAGTGGTGGGTGCTCCATAACTAGAGGTTTTCAAGAAAAAAATGGACAACCATTTGTTTGACTCTGGGATGATATAAAAATCCTGTCTTGGCCAGGGGGCTGAGCTAGAAGACCACCAAAGTCCCTTCCAGACCTAAGATTCTATGATTCCATGGCCTGCACACTTATCAGCCTGGCATATAAAGTTGTACTTCTCTCATTTCAGTCATGATAGTCTTCAGCTGGAATTTTGATGAATGTCTTTGTGGGCACACAAAACAAACGAGTCTCCATATAGACTTTGCATTCATTTTAGTTATCCTTCCATTATACCAGTGGTTCTCAACCTGTGGGTCGGGACCCCATTTGGGGTCGAACGACCATTTCACGGGGGTCACCAAACAATGCAGTCCGCCATTTTTTCCCCTTTTCCTTAGCTGTGCTACTCCCTTTTATTCTATTGGCTTTTGAAAGCCAATAGAATAGACTCTCTTGAATAGAGTCTAATTCTATTGGCTTTCAAAAGCCAATAGGAATTGTCCAGGCTGTCTCTGCCCTGCTGAGCCCACCAAAAGTCCCATTCTGCAAACGGGGCTGCACCAGTTGAGTATCCTCGACTTACGACCGGCTGAGTAGTCCTCGACTTACGACCGGTTGGGGGTCGCGGCATTAAAAAGGTTGAGAACCACTGCATTATACAAAAGGAAAATTCCTTGCATTCTTCTAATTGCCAGGCACAACTACAACCACACAATTAAACAAGTTGCCAGGGCACCGCATAAGGGAATCACACCCATGTTTTAGCATTTGTCTAGTTACAGCATCCTCACCTGCAGCCTTATAGTTTTTCAACTTTTTTTTACCATTTACAGCTTCCTTTCCATGCATTTTTTTTTCTTGGAGTAATATTTGTTTCGATTCCTCTCTCTGAGGCATTGCTATCCTTTTGATATAAGCATCTCGTGCATTCCATCCTCAGTTTCATCCCAGATCACTTTTATTCTTTGCTGGACAGCCCACGACCCTCTTCAGTGTCATCCACTGGACTAGAAAAGGTCTTAAAAATTCAGGGATACGTTTAGAGATGCACCTGCCTTGAAATTCGCCCACACTGAACTGGCAATCAAGCACCAGGAATTGACCACAGGAAACATTTTAGGGCACTTTGCACTATTCACAAAATGTTTTATAAAATTTGCCAAGTTTCAGTTCCATTTGGATCCCAAATTTTGGATGCATTCTGTAAAGTTAGCCTGTTTGAAGCTAACCATGGTTCAAAAATGTTGTCATAGCCTGGTTAAAGGTCACGGACAGAAAAGAGAGTTTTAATTTATAGCATAGAGATTCCATTCAGTTCTGCTGGAGACGCCTGGTTTATCCTTCCCAAACCATTCCCCCCTCCCCCCCTTTCAACCCTTGTTCTCATTTTTCCTCTCTGAATCTTTGGTTCCCCGTTTTACTCTCCTGCCCATCGATCAGAAGCCTCTGCTTTTCTCCTCCCAGGCCCGTCTCCCTCCCCCGCCCAAGGCCCCTCCGGGACTGCCTGCTGTCCTGCAGGCTGGAGACGCCGCGAGGGGCTCCCACGCAGCCCACCGGAGGCTCCACTCCTCCAGCAACCTCTCCGCGGGGCTCCCTCAGCGGGTCTCCTTTGCCCTCCGGGGACGCTGCCAGTCTTCGGGGAGCCTGGGGCCTTGCTCGACGGCCAAGCCCCCGGGAAGCCCTCGCGGGAACCCGACGCGAGCTTGGCTGGAGGCGTCAGCGGGACTCCGGGGAATGGGAGGGCAGTAGCCGGGCCCGGCAGGACCCGACCGGAAGCTGACCCTCAGAGCGAGCCCAGCAAGGAGCCGCCCTCCCGAAGGCCGCGACTGCACCTGGCCGCAGACGGCGGGTGAGGTCGGCGAGGCCGCCAGGCAGATAGGGCGGTCGGGCGGGGCGCGCGCACCCGGAGCCGGCCCAGACAGGGACGGAGGGAGGGAAGGAGATGCCGGGCCACAATCGACGCCGCCGACCAAGAGGAAGCCCGCGCGGACGCCTTTCCGGCCCAGCAAACTAGCCGGAGGGGAGCCCGAGCCTTGCCTGCCGCTTCCGCCGGACGTCCCCTCGAAGAAAGGACGGGGGTGGCCCTCCCCGCGAGCCCACCCGCCTCAAGAGGCCTCCGCGCCCTCGGAGCCGCATGTGCCCGCGGAGCCGCACCGCCTCGCCTCGCCTCGCCTGCCGGGCAGAGGCTCGCGCGTCCTGAAGGCGGCTCCGGCTCCTCTCTGCGCTTAGAGGGCGGCGCGGCCGAGGCCGCCGCCTTGCGCTAAACCGGAGCGCCTCTTCCGCCTCGGCCTTTCGCCTGAGCGCCACGCCCGCCGCCCCCGCCCCCGAGGGGATGCCCGAAGGCGCGCCGGGCCCACTTGCAGCTGCGCCCCCCCCATCCGCCCCTGCCGACGATGGTGACTCTTGAAGGCGCACCCGCCGCGGCCTCGCCTGAGGACTGGACGGGGACGGGGCCGCCGAGCGCCTCAGGGACCGCCGCCGCCGCCGCCTCGTCGGCTCGCACTTCGCCCGAGGGTCCTTCGCTGCTTCCGCCGCCGCCGCCGCCGCCGCCCTTGAGCCTGGTCGACGCCGCGTCCTGCGAGGGGGCGGCCGAAAAGCCGTCCACGCGGCGTCCGGTCCGGCTGCGGAACTTCAACTGGGAGGCGATCCCGGCGGAGCGCATCCGCGGGCGCCCCAACCTCTGGACGGCGGCGCGACAGCGCGGCGACTGGGCGCCCGACTGGCGTCTGCTGGAGGAGCTCTTCGGGCAGCGGCCGGAGCCGGGCGGCGGCGGGCTCCGAGGCCTCCCCGCAACGGAGCAGGTGAGGGCGGGCGGAAGCGCATCGCGGGCTCTGTTGGGCAGGTCAGGCCGTCCCTCTCCGGGCTGCTCTCTCTTCCGACGGCCGCTTCCTGCTCGGCGCACTGAATGTCCGCGGCGCAGGGCCGAGCCCATCCAGGGCGTCGGGCGGGCCTGCGGCTTGGCCTCCCCGGGTCAGGGGCTGCGGCGGAGGTCACCCCCCTCGGGGGAGGGAGGATTGGGCCGCCGACCCCCCCCCCATCGCAAAGCGCGTTTTGTTTCTGTTTCTTGGAGCCCGAATTCAAGGGGGGGGGCTTCGCGGGACAGTTTAATCCGGTTGTCGGAGCCGGTGCTCCTCTCCCCCCCCACCCCCACGGCACCCCGAACGAAACCAGAATGGGTCAATGCAAATAAATGTTCCCAATTCAGCGTCTGGGTAGCCTCTGGCGCAGCCTCTCCAGGCAGGCCTTGGCTCTCCCCCGTCGGCCCTTTAATTTCAGCCTTTCTTTAGGCAGCTGAAGATAGTCTGAGCCGGGCTGGCTCTCTTAAGTCCTCAGAAGAGTTTTGCCAGGTAGAGCACCCTGAGCCATGGAAGTTAACACACATCCTTCTGAGTTTAGGGAAACAGGAATCTTGTGCTTCCTGGTCTGGTGTGGAATGTTGATGGAGGATCAACTCTTTGGATAACTCAGTAAGGCCTCTTCGCCCAAGAACCATCCAGGAAGGGCTGCTGTTGCTACTGGGGGGTGGTGGTAATCCTTGGTCATCCAGCCTTGGGGAGACCTTTCCCATTGCTGGACTCCCGTGATCTGATCTGCCTGGTTGTCCAAAGACTTTCATGCAACATGCTTAATGCCGTTCTCTGGGGCTGGGTACAGTGCCCTCCAGCCTGCACTGTCAGGCTGATTGAGGAACCCGCTGAGCACAGTGTGAAAAACCAGCACATCGTTTTCTTGTGAGTTGTTCATTTCCAAGGAAGATGGAAGTAATGCCTAGTAGTTCCTTTGCTTAGAAAGTTGGGAGTTTCTGGCCAAAAACAGCCCACAGCCTCCCATCAAATTGAAGAGCAGAACAGAGGGATCTGTCTAGAGTGGGTGCTGTTCATGGCTTGTATTTATTGACCTGGGGTTTGATACCATCATTGGGAGCAACACCTGGAGGACAAAATGAGTTCTTGATTAATCTGATCAAGCTGGAAGATTTCGCAGAGGGGAATACACACACACACACACACACACACACACAGAGAGAGAGAGAGAGAGAGAGAGAGAGAGAGAGAGAGAGAGAGAGAATTGTGAAGGAGAACAAAGCGAATCCACCTTAGCTGGGTAATACATGAGGGGGGAGGGGTGGGCATCGAATGGCACTCATTCAGCTGCTGCTGAGGGCTGCCTTTAACAAGGGCAGGGTGGACGCCAATTGGCACAGAATATATGCACGTATGTATATGTGTATATGGTCACCCCCACTTTCAACCAGCTCTGGGCGGCTCCCAGTGCAGAGGAGACCCTGGCAGCTCTTTGCCAGCTCCCTTGGGTGGCGGTGTCTTCGCTTCCCCGGGTGAACCAGGGTCTGGAGGGCGCCTCTTGGGGGTTTCTGGTGTGCATCTAACAAGCTACCCGGTCGTCGCTGAAGGTGGCAAACCCATTAGGAGGTGAGGCTGGGCGGAAGGGACTGCGCAGGGAGGTCAGGGACCCGAGGGGCAGGAGCAGAGGGCCAGCTCTCTGGGGGCTTGGCTTGGATTCGGGGGGGGGGGGCCTCTGGCTCCAGAGGCGGAAGATGAGCAGGATCCAGGGCTCCTCTTGTCTACAGCCAATGGGAGAGATGAGGAGTCCCTGCCAGGCGGCGGCACTCAAGAGGGGCTGCCAAACTCTTTTTCAAGAGGGCAAGAACATCTGGCAGCCCCAATCCCTGCCCCTCCCCTAATCTCCCTGGGGTCTCTCCCTCATTTTAGGCCTCCCTTTTGGATGCCAAGAAAATCCTGAACCTGGGGATCTTCCTCAAGCAGTTCAAGAGGTGAGGGGGAGGGGTGGAGGGAGGGACCCCAGGCTTCTGGGTGGGACAAGCCACGAAGAAGCTCTCCCCTCTCTAGGCCAGTTCAAGACATCGTGGCAGACATCTACCATGGCACAGGAGTGCCTTATGGGCCGGAGAAGCTGCTGGAGCTCTTCAGGATGCTTCCGGATGGGAAGGAGGTGATGGGGGGGCTCGGAGGGGGGGGCAGAGGGGCTCTTGCCACCTCGCCAGTTTCACGGTTGCCATTTCTCCTGGGAAGGTGGAGAAGCTGGAGACTTTCCAGGGCGACCGGAGCCGCCTCTCAGAGGCCGAAGTCTTTGCGCTGCTCCTCATCCAAATGCCCAGGTGAGGGGCCGATCCAGGCACGGGGGGTGCAGCTCTGAGGGTACTGCCGGACAACCCCCCCATGGCCCCCTCTTGTCTTCCAGCTACGCCCGTCGCCTGGAGCTCCTCGTGTTGAAGCTGCAGCTGCTCCCCCAGCTCAGTGCCCTACAGTCCGCCATCCAGACCCTGACCAAGGCCGCCGTGGGTGCGCGGAGCCTGGCTCTTCTCCCCTCCCCTGCCCTTGGCCAGGAGGGGCCACCTCCGACTGGGGGCCAGGTTGGGGCCCCTCATCTGGGCGGGGGAGGGGCCCCAGCTGGACTCTCCGCAGAGGGGCGGGGCTGGCCCTGCTGGGGCAGATGCCGCCCTTGTCGTGAAGGTCGTTTCCTCCCTCCCCGCAGAGCTGCTGGGTTGCGAAGAGCTGCATGACCTCCTTCGGCTGGTGCTGCAGACGGGGAACTACATGAACGAGGTGCCTCCTTGGGTTGCTTCCTTTGCTTTTGTCAAAGCAAAAACATCCGATATTAGCAGTGTTGACATCAGCCCTGGCTGGTCCTGGCTCTCGGGGGCTCAATTGCCCCATCACCCGAGGGCGCCTGGGGCTCGGATGGGATCCCTGCTCCTCCCCCAAGAGAAGCAGCTCGCTGTTCCCCGGTGGGGGGGGGAATGTGGATGGCCTCCGGAGAGTGTGGCTGCCTTTGGCCAGCCATGCCAGGCCTCGTGAGGGTGGTCCGTACAGGCGCATGACTCCCTTTGCCCCCCTCCTCCTCCTGCAGGGAGGCTATGCCGGCTCTGCCTGCGGCTTTCACGTGTCGTCCCTGCTGAGGCTACCAGACACGAAGGGCAACCAGCCGGGCATGGACCTCCTGCATTTCGTGGCCTTGGTGAGAAGGCTTGCGGGCCGGGAGGGAGGGGCCTTAGCCATGGAAAGAAATTGGAACACAAGGGGAAGCTCCGGAGAGGGGAGGACCAGGGTCTCCCCACCCACCCCCGGTGGAGAAAGCTCCGCTGTGGCCGAGGGCTGCCTTGAGGAGTTCCTGGAGCAGGTGGCTGCTGATCTTCAGGACTGGGCGGGAGGGGGGCGAAGGTCCCACCTTGACCTGCCTTTGGTGGGGGTGGGGACTGTGGCCTGGGGGGTGGTCCAGGTCCCCTGTTCCATAGAGAAAGGGACCCCGCTCCTCTCCATGCTCCTGGGCCTGCCGCAGCAGCTCAAAAGGCAGCCTGCCAAAACCTGTCTGGAAGGTCGCCCAGAATGCCGTGATTTTCGGCAGGGCCCCGGAGGGAGTCGGGAGCGCTGGAAGGATGGCTGGAAAGTTCCTGCAGGGAAAGTGGCCTGTTCTCCGGACGGTCCCGTCTTAGCCTCTTTGTAGAACTTGATGGGGTTTCCCGGCAGATCAAATGCAGGATGGGAGGGGGAGGGAATCGCTCAAATGCACCCCCAGCCCTCTCTTTTTAAAAAGGTTCTCTGGAAAGAGGAGATCCGGTTCTGGCATTTTCCTGTGGGCTAAAAACATTTCAAAATCCCTGCCCTTCGTCCGCACTTGATGGGCTCAGATGATAGGAGGAGTATTAGAGAAAATCCTCAGGGGGAGGCGGGGAGGGAGGGTCGGAGCATGCGCTGCCCCCCCAGCCTTGTCCCAGGGGACACCTTTTGACCCCCCTTTTGTCTCCTCTCCAGGAGGCCGAGAGGAAGGATCCCGGCCTTCTGCACTTTCCCCGGCGGCTCCAGCATGCGGCCCCTGCCTCACGGTAAGGAAGGCAGTGCAGGAGACCGCTGGGGGGGGGGAGGGGGAGGGAGAGAGGCCGGATCAGTCCCATCTTGCAGGGCGGAGGAGACAGGCGAGGCCATCCTGCCTGCCCTGCGGCCGCCTGCCTGACGCTGTGCCTGCGACTGCTCTCCTTTGCAGGATCGATGACCAGGAGGTGGCGGCAGAATTGCAGAGCCTGGAGCAGCGTCTCTTGGGAGCTCAGGGGGATCTGGAGGGCCTGGGCTTGGAGGCCCAGATGGGGCCCTTCCTGCACTTGGCGGAAGTGCAACTGAAGGCCGTGAAAGCCGCCCAGCAGGGCCTTCGGCAGGCCACCGCCAGGCTCTCTGACTTCCTCTGCGAAGACCCCGAGGCCTTCAGCTTGCCCGAGTGCTGCGGCATCTTCCAGGCCTTTGGGGAGCGTTTCCTCGCGGCCATCGAGGTAGGTTGGGCCCTGACGTGGCTGTCTCCCCACTGCCAAGGAAGCATGGCTCATGGAGGCCTCCTGGAAGGCTGGGGGGGGGAAAACACTATCTCCAAGGGGATAGCCGCTCACCTCTTCTCTGGGGTCCCCCCCACAGGAGAACCGGGCCAGAGAGGCCACCATGCACCGGGAGCAGCGGCGGCGGCGGCAGCAGGAGCAGGCGAAGCACAAGCGGCGCTCCATCGCCACCTGCTCCTTCCAAGAGCCGGGCCTGCAGGATGTGGAGCTGGACCTGCTTGCCCTGTGGACTCCTGCCTCTGGGCGCCGCAGCCGCCCCCCACGGGGTCCCCGCTCCTCTGAAGGCAGCCACTGTGGGAGGGAGAGGCCCCCGCACGTCAACCGGCGCCACACGCTCACCGTGCTGTCTCCCTGCTCTGAGACCCTCAAGGCTGCCCCTGAGGCATCTCCCCCGGCCTCTCCCCCGCCCCTCCCCAGCCGTGGCAAGAGGGCCGGGTTCTTTGGCCAGGGCCTCAAGGCCTTGTTCAGCTCCCCCCCAGCCATGCCTGCCTCCCCCACCTCCACCCAGGGGCCCCTCTCCCCCAGCAGCTTCCGCCTGCCTCCCCTCTTCCAGGGGAAGGGGCCCGAGAGCTCCTCGTCCCCCACCTCCAAGGAGGTCTGTGGCCTGGTGGGTTTCCTGCGTCGCCTGAGTGTAGGGGAGAAGCCCCGCAGCCCCTCCTAGTCCGAGGCTGGGTCCCTGGTCTAGCAAAGGGAGCTGTCACTACTCCCCTATGCCCCCCCAGCCCCCTCAGTGTGTGTGGGTCCAGTCGGGGGCTGTTTTAACCTCCTCTTGTTTCCTTTCCCTGCCTTGACTAGTGTTAAGTGACCACTTTGTTTACGCTCAATAAACCTTTTTCAACTTCCCTTGCCTTGTCTGACCTGAGCCACGCTCACCTGCCCTGGAGCCCCGAATGCCTGACAAAAACTCATCTCGCCAGGCCGGAGGGGTCCTCTGACCCAGTGCTGCACTGGAGTGGTGAGGGTAACTCCTTGGGGCTCAGAGATATGTCAGAAATTCATGAATTAAAGTGGCAATACTTTTTGAAATGCCTATCCGAAGCAGCTCCGCATCACTGGAGGCCTGGAAGCCTTGGAGGATGCCCTTTGGGGCCTTGCAGCCCCTCCAAAGAGGGAGGAAGCCCCTCCTGTTCTCCTCTGCTTTGGTGGGCTCCAGAGGCCGGATGACAGCAGGACCCTCTGGCGTGGCTTCCAGGGAGACAGAGGACTGGCGTGTGACCACAAATGAAATGTCACCTGTGACAGGCGTGTCATAGGTTGGCTTCATCGCTCCAGGTTCATCCTTCCTGCTCTGCCTAGAGCTCATCCCCCCCCAGGGAGCTTGGGGAAGGGTCTTGGGAATCCTGCTTCCAAGCCAAGGCCAGCAGGAGCCACCTCAGCAACCTCGGCAGGGCCTCAACACCCCAAGTGTCCCCCTAAAGTAGCAGAAAGTCCTTCGCCTTCAGGAAGGGTGCTGGGGAACCTGAGCAGCTCCCACCTCTGGGTGGGAACGGCGCCCGAGACCTCCTCGACCAGGCAAGGGAGCGGCAGGGGCGCTCTGACCCCACGGAAGCGCATCTCCCGGCCGCCGAGGGGAGGGCGGGCGCCCCACCGCCAGCAGAGAAGAAGAAGCGCAGCGCGGGGCAGGCAGGGCGTCCTCCCGTCGGTGGGAGGGCTCGCCCGCGAGGGAGCCGGCGGCGGGGCCGGCCTTGGCAGGGCGGCGTCTTCCGGGCTGGCATCCCGAGGCCTAGAAGGAGGGAGGCGGCGCCGGCACTGCTCGCTACCTGTGGCCGCGGCGGAAGCCTCTGCAGGTGAGTCGGCCTGGAGCGCGGCCATCGGCCCTGCTCGTGAAGCCGGAGGCGAGCCGGGGGCCGGGGCGTTCTACCCGGGGTATCCCGCCCGACTGCTCGGGAGCCGCGGGGGAGGGCGGCCGCCGGGCTCCTCGGGCGCAGCCGGGCAGGTGGAAACACTCGGCCGTCCGCGCGCCCCCACGGACGGGCGGCCTCACCGGAGCCCCCGGAGCAGCAGGACCGGGCGTCGAGGCGTCGGCCCTCGGGGCACGTGCGCGGGTGGAGGAGGCGCAGCCCGCCGGGCCAGCGGCACCAGTCGGGCCACATTCCCGCCCGAGGCCGGGCGCCTGCAGGAGGCGAGCGTCCGCGGGGCGCGCCCTGTTCTCTCGTCCCCGGCGGCCCGAAAGTGGCCCGCGGGCCGGCGTGGCATCTTCCCAAAGGCCGGGGCTTCCGAACTTCTGTCCCCGCCACCGCCCCCAGCTCTGCGCCTCCTGCGCAATTGGATGTCCGCGGGCCGGATTCGGAAGGCGGCTCCTTCGGAAAGCGGCTGTTGGTCGCTCTTTGGGCGGCAGTCCCGCTGCCCCTGACGGGCACCCGGCAGTCGCAAAGGGGCGGGTGGGCGAGGAGGTTGCGCGAGGCCGGCGCTGAGCCTCGTCCCAGCTGAGCCTTCGCGTGCCCCCCTGGTTGAGGCGATTGCTTCGGGGCCTCCAAGTGGTTTCTTCGCGCCTCTGCAAGGCGATCTGCCCCTAACCGCGTTCTTCAGGTCTTCCCTGGTGCCCCATGGCTGCTGTAAGAGAGTGCGACCCCTCCCCTTTGCTGCTGGCCTTCCTCCTCCTCCTCCTCCTCCTCCTCCTCCTCTCCCAGCATCTGTGCCTACCCCAGACAGCTGCAGGGTCTCCTTGAAAGGAGTCCAAAGTAGCGGGTCCTTGTGGTTCCTCGTGGTGCCTGGCTGTGGGCGCCCAGAGGGTCCCTTGCCCCTCAGGTTGACTTGTCCAGTGACCCATTGGTGTATTTGTCTGGTGATCCAGGATATTCTCGGGAATCTCTTCCAGGGTCAAAGTTTAAAAAGGTCAATCCTCTTCCTAATTTCCTTCTCCAGACTCCAACTTTTGCTTCCTTGCACGATTCTGGCCTGTGCAGACCCAGGGCCCTCATGACATCTGGGCCTCTTCTCCAAGCCTTCATGGCTGCTCCACCAAGCGCCGGTTAGCGCTGACCGTTTCGACAGCTTGTTCCTTTCCTGTTGAAGGTTGATCCTCCAAGGCAGAAGCTCTTCTTGCTGCTGTTGGGCTGAGCAGGCACTCCCCCCCCCTCTTCCCTTCCTGTTGTGGGCACCAGCCTCCCCGGCTTGTGACAAGGGGCAGACAGGAGGTTGGCTATAATGGTATTCGGAAAATGCGACCGCCAGACCTGGAGAAGAAGGGAAGGAGTTTGATGATCTGGGTGTTTTTCATCTTGCTTTCTTGGGGGGATGTTTATTGTGGGAGGGGCCTAGCCTTCTGGCCAAGCCACCATCGTAGCTCCCTGCCCTTTCTGGGACAGGAGCACAGAAATAATGGCTTGTTCTTGTCTTTCCTTGTTTTCTCACCTCCCCAGCTTGGCTGTTATCTACAAGCAGGTGGAATCAAGCTCTGATACACTTCCCAACTCATTCAAGGGGTTGGACTTCAACCCAGAGCGCTTGACAGAGGGATGTCCCAGCAGCTTTTAATTTGCTTTTTCATTGGAGAAACTTCCTGCTCCCTCTGGCGAAAGGGCTGTGTGTGTGTGTGTGTGTGTGTGTGTGTGTGTGTGTGAGAGAGAGAGAGAGAGAGAGAGAGAGAGAGAGAGAGAAGGGAGGCTGGCTAGGGACCTGAGGCCAACCTCTTCTAGTACCTGCCCAGCCCCCTGTGCTTGCCCCCTGACCCCGGGCAGCCAAGAATTGTGGTGTGGGGGTGGCTCAGGCCCAGGAGCTCATCTTTCGGAGGGAGGGGGAGGGGGGTGGGCTTTGGGTGCAGGAGAAACAGGCTATTTTGCGGTCCAGGAAGGGGGTGTGTTTAGGGCATCACCGCATCTTCTGCCATGCACAGCCAGACTGACTAAAACGGTGATTCAAGGTATCATAACTTAGTTCTGGAATAAAGAATAACGATGAGTAAATTTCTCATCCGCAGAGAAGGGTAAAGAACCTGGGGGTGGATGTAAGGGTAAAGAACCTGGACATGACAAACCTGGGGGTGGATGTGGGGCCGGTTCCTGCTTTCAGAGTGGCAGCGCCCCCTAGTGGCCATGGGACTCTTAAAAAAACCTGAATTTTATTTATTTAATTAAATATTTATTTATTTATTTATTTATTTCTATCCCGCTTTTATGTTTTTATAAAAAGCTCAAGGCAGTGAACATACTACCTAAGACTCCTTGCAAAACCAGCCGCCCTCTGAGGTGCATTGGGCCGAGAAAGGGGGACTAGCCCACGACCACCCGGCTGGCTTTCCTGCCAGGTCCTTCCAGGGGAGAATCAGGGCAGGGGAAATTCTGCATGTCTGCAGTGAGAGTCTGCCTGCACACGCAACACCTGTGGCAAACGGTCATTGCACCATCAGGGCTGCCGTCTTGACTTTTCTGAGTGTTCCCTGCAGATGCCCTTCTTTCTTCCCAGGGCCTCTCAGCCTGCCTGCCTGCCTGCCTGGCCCCCTCCTCCCAGATGGCTTCCTGGAAGGCACTCCAGAAGGACTGTCCCGGAGAATCTGGGGAAATAGACGGGGGTTGTCCTGGGGCCAGCGAGGGCAACAAGGTCAGCAGGCAGAACAGAGGATATTTCAGGCAGAAAAGAAAAAGAAATCCCCACGCAGCCTACTGAGAACACTGAATATCCAGCACATAATTTCCCACTGAGATAGCAGGAACCGTGGGAGAAAAGAATTAAACCAGAGTTATGGAGGGAGGGGGTGGTGGTAAACCAGGCCGAGGAATTAGCTCAGCATTTAGTGAAAGGCCAGAAGCGGGGTGGCCCTCGTGAGGGCCCTGGCAGGGGAGTGGCTGGCCTTGGAGGGGCTTCTCTGGAAAAGGGTTTCAGCAGCTGGGAAAATTCGTGGGCACCGAGCGAAACCCTCAGGAGGGGGGGGGCAGGTGTTTTGCAGAAGTGGGTGCTCTGTGGAGGGGGTGACCTAGATCCAGACCCTGGGGTTGATCCAGCTACAGAGGCAGCACCACCAGGAAATCTACTTCTTACTTAGGCTGGGACCCTCCAACGGAAGCCTTACCCTCTTTGCACATCCGTTTCCCGTGGTGATGCAGGGCGAAGGACTTTTTGAAAGGGGCTGTGATGCTGGTGCTGGCCAGTGGGAGGAATGGCCGGAGGGGGGGATAGCATCACCCACCTTATGGTGTTGACCACTTCTGGTCAGAGGATGGACCTCATTTCCAGCTCTGGGGGCACTTGCGGTGCTTCCTTCGCTTTGCCCCCCCCCCGTTTTTTTCCTCCTGCAGATTCCAGGATTGTAATCTCAGTGGCAGAGGCCAAGCAGCATTCTGGGGCTTTGGGGTGATGCAGGGTGATGCAGGGTTGGCGTAACGGTAATGGCAGCTCAGGGGTGGTAGCCCCCACCCCTGAGCTGCCACTCAGGTAGCTGACAGACCACGTTAGGGTAGTTAAGCGGGGGGAGGAAAATGGCAGGAGCCAAGGGGCCAGCCATTCATGGAAACTGCGGCACTGATGCTTTATGTTGGTTTTGTGCACCAGCTCCAGGGTGTCGCCTCTTCTATGCGGACAGAGACCGGCTGGCTTGTTAGAGTGACACGTGTGTGTGGGTGGGTGTGTGTGTGTGTATGTCCTGTCACTGTTCTTTGAGTGAGGGGGTTGTTTCTTTACCTTTTAGTCCACCTGCTCCTCAGGAATCCATTGCTGGATAATCTTTGTCCGGTATCTAACCTTCTCTTTTCGGGGAAGGGGGTTAAGAACAGCTGCATAACAGCTTCAGAGGACCTCGGCAGGTGGAGCGGATTACCTGGATCCCTTTCAGTCAAGATTCAGAGTATGGGATAGAAGCAGCATTGGTGGTGATTTGGGTGATCTCTGCTGCAGTCTTGACTGGAGCCATCTTGACTTCTTTGGGGCTTTCTGTGCCATCAATCCCAGTATCAGTCTGAATGGGGGATCGGAGGGGTGTGTGGCCCCGTGTTGTGCTGGCTCGCCTCCTTTCTCCGGGGTCAGTTTCAGCTGGGGGGGGAGAGATCCCACCCTCGGCCACTGCTGGGTCAGTTGCTTTTCTCCTCTCTCTTTTCAACACCCACAGGAGACCTCTGAGTGAGCTCCTCTGTCATCAGGGGGTGAAGCAACCCCCATATGCAAAGGATGCTCCACTGCCCATCGCTGCCCCGGGTGAATTAGGCAATGCTCAGGCATCTTATTTTGGTATCTGGAGGTCCCAAGGGGGAGTGGGTTGGTTGGGGAACAGCAGGCTTCGGCTGAACCCTGGCGAGGCGGAGTGGCTCTGGATTTTGGGACCCCCTGGTTCTGGGATGCCTTTGTTGATGCTGTTGATGCCTTTCAGATATCCATCCCCGTGGATGTGGGGGAAGTGCTTGATTCCGAGGAGGATGCGATCTTAGTAATGCACGGTAAGTGGAAAGGATGGTCCCTGGTACAATGTGCTTCCAACTGCGGGGGCTCTCCAAAGGGCATCCATCATTGCCCTGGACACTCGGGGGAAGGGGGTGTCACCAGAAGGAGAAGCAGCCCTGACACCCCCAGCCTGGCTGACTTGCACAGTGGAGCGTTTGTTCAGCTGGGATCCTTCTGGTGAATGGCCAGGCCAGGCCGCAGGGCCAGCTGGGTCCGCCGCTCTTGCTGGCTTCCTTCACCCTGAAGGTGCTGAGAGGGCAGTCAGGGATGCAGAGCCAGCACTCGCAGTCCTCCCCCCCCCATTGCAACCGGAGCGAGGACCCACTGGGCTTAGGCCCTGGAGGGGGGTGGGGAGACATTCAGGGAGCAGAAAAGTGCCTGTCCCTTATGATTCCCACTTTGGGTTGCCAGGCCAGTGTGGTGCCTGTCTGCCTGGGAGGCTAAAGGAAAAGGTTCTGCAAATAATGCCAGTGGCGGGGTGGGGTGGGGGTGTGTGGACTTCGAGGAAGGCACGGCCAGGGGCTCCAGGGAAGGAGAAGGAGGACACGTTGAGCCACCAGGGATATATATTTGTGACTAAGGGGGGGGGCGCCCTATCCCACTCAGCCTGCCTGCTGTGGATGCTCCCAGTGGGCCGGGGCCCAGAGCCCCACCAGACAGAGAAGGGCGGGAGAGAAAGGCCTCCCTCGCAGGAGCCCCTCCGCCCTCAGAAGAGCCGCTGCTCCTGCCACGCCCCCGCCTGCTCTGGTACCCTCTGCCCAGATGCAGTTCCCATGGCAACCACCATCCCTCGGCTCCCGCTGTAGCCGGCGGGCCGCGAAGGGCCTTTCCCCCGCGGGCTGGGCCGCCTCCGACGCGGGAGCGGGTCCACCCCTCGCCGCGCTACCCGCTTCCGCCCGCTCGGGCACTGCGGAGAAGCCGCAGCTGCTGCAGCTCCGAAGCGGGCTCGGCGGGCGCGACCATTCCGCGGCGGCGGCGGGGGAGCGAGGCGGGGCAGCGCCACCGTCCCGCCTCCTCGGCGGCCGAGCGACCCTCGGGCTTGGCGAGAGGGACGGGCGAGGGCGGGAGCCGGGCGCCGGGCTCACTGCGGAGGGCGCCGGGCGCGATTCCGCCTCTCGCCCCCTCCGCCGCCGCCAGCAGTGGTACGCTCCGGCCCATCAGCAGAGGGGATGCGGTGAGAAGCCCAGCCCGCTCGCGGCACCGCGGCCACAGAGGGAGATGCGGGCTCCGGGCTCCGGACGCCGCCCGCGCTGACGTCTCCTGGCCGGGCAGCCCTCGCGGTGAGCCGAAGCCGCAGTGGGTGAGCGCGTAGTCCGGCCGCTTCCCGGGCTAGGAGGCGGGAGCGCAGGCACCGTCCCCGCCCAGCCGAGCGGGCGGCGGAGGGGCCATTAGGCCGGCCGCAGAAGGGCGTGGCGGGCGCCCCTGCCTCGGAGAGCGTTCTCCTGCCGGCCGGCCGCCTTCCCGCCGCTGCGCTGCTTCCCTCCAGGGACGGGGAGGAGCCGCCCGCAGCTGCAGCCTCCCCGCCGGCCCTCCGCGCCGAAAGGCCGGAAGCCCCCGGGCGCGGCCGGTGAGAGGCGCCCGGCCTTCTTTCCATGGGGGTGGGGGGTGGGTGGCCAGGCGGGCGGGGCGGGGCGGCGTGGCCCGGAGGAGCCGGGGGCGGCGGCGGGCGGCAGCTGGGCCGGGGGCAGAGCCGAGTGGCGCGGCGCATGCTCGGGGGCGGGGGGGGAATGCGGCTCCGCGCTCTGCCGCCTCTTGCGAGAGGAAGCCGGGCGGAGGTGCGGCCGCCCTTCGTCCTTCCCCTCCGGCGGGGCTGAGGGCCGCTTGTCTCTTCCCGGGCAGAGCAGCAGCCAAAGGCGCCGCGCAGCCTCCAGCCGGCCCTCGCCATGGCGAAGCGCGAGTCCAGCTCCAGCCCGGTGGTACGGCAGATCGACAAACAGTTCCTGGTGTGCAGCATCTGCCTGGACCGCTATCACAACCCCAAGGTGTTGCCGTGTCTTCACACCTTCTGCGAGAGGTGAGAGCCGCGGCCCCGCCGTCTGCCACCGGGCCGGGGGGGGGAGGAGGGGGGGCACGGCCTGCTTCCCCCTCCCGGCTCCGAGTGGTTGTTGGCGTCCGGCCAAGTGGCTCGCTGAGCGGATCAGGAATGGCGACAGGGCGCTGCGTGGGCGGAGGGGGAGGAGAAACTCTGCTTCTCAACCCCCCCCACACAGATTCCCCCCTCCCCCCGAGATTTGCAGGAGCCCCGAAGCCTGCAGTCTGCTGGAGCGGATGCGGTGGGTCAGGACTGGGCGGTTGGTAGCAAGAGCTGGACGTTGGTTGCCTGCAGTCTCTGTGGTTTTCTTTGAGGCTTTGATCCCGTGTGACAATCTAAGGAGGGAGGTGGTGGGATGGGTGGGAGTAGAACCCACCCAAAGACTGCGATCCCTTGCTGGAGATGCTCAGGTTCCTTACAGGCGTCTGTGAAAAAAAGGGTCAGCAATAGGAGAAAGCAGAACGTTCCCCCTGCCAGGGATCCCAGCAAGGGATGGCCAAACCTGCTCCAACCAGAGCAGATCAGTGGAAACTCAGCCTTTGTCTTTTGATGACATAAGGAGGTGTGCAGACCCTTCGCCCTGCGAGGTGGTCCAGCCCAGAATACGGCCAGGCGTCTTGGCTCTGCCTTTCTTGTAAGGGGACATTAACAGGTTCTTGCTGGATGAAAAGCACTCCTCCGCTTCTTCCTTTCACTCTCCCAAAGACTGGGGGGGACGGGGGGTCCCATGCCATCCCCTCTTCTGTGGGCTTTTGCCCCCTGGTTGCCCCATCTGCGGCTCTGCCTCCTGTCTGCCAAGGTCATTGGCACTTCCAGGGCACAGGCAGATTGCCAGGCTCCCAAACCCCAGGAAGGTCCCCAAAGATCCTTAAAGATCCTTGGTGAAGCAAATGCTGCTCCTGGAAGTGAAGCCTCCTGAGGGACCCGGCCAGGCTCTTTGACCATTGCTGACCTTTGGGCAACCCACCGTCTCCCGCTGTCCAGGAGACCCTCGGACACTTTAAACTTTGCTCAAAAGCAAAGAGGTGACTGGCCCTTTGGCCTCCCATACGTTGGACTGTGCTGGTGATGTTGTCTCTGACACCCTCCCCCAAACACCTGGATTTGTCTGGGGCTGTATTTGCCAGCAGCTGCACTGGTCCCTGCAGTTTCCCTAGGCCAAAGTGGGCCCCTTTGCTTCTGCGTTAGACAAGCTCCCCGTAGGGCTCTGGGTCCTTGCCAGAGGACGGCTCCTGGTGGGCCAGGCTCAGCCCTCCGCGAAGCTGCTTCCAAATCTGACCTGGCCTTTGGGCCTTGCCACTTGGTCTGGGGAAGGGGCTCAGGGGTTGCTCCCTTGCTGCTGTGCCTGCCTTGGCCATCAGGACGGTTGTCCTCGCCATGCCAAGTCTGCCGCCCTGTTGGCATCAGGCTGGCTCCCGGCGTTGGCTTTGGAGGCAGGTCCTGCAAAGCAGAGGGGAGGATGGCCGAGGCGTTTGGGAAGATGCTTGTGTGTGACTTTTGGCTTCTCTGTTGTGAACCGCTGCCAGTCCGGTGGATTGTCTGGGTATAAATGAATAGGGAATATTTGCTGCGTCTCCTGAGCGGAATATTACAGCCATAGAGTTGTGGGACTCAAGAAGCTATCTAGCTCTTCCCGCCGGTGCAGAAGGGGAAGTGCAGAGGCAAAGGTGAGCTTGCAGCTCAGGCCAGGGACCTTGGTGGGCCCTCCAGCCCATGGAGGGTTTTAAATACTTCTTCATCAAATCATCATCATTTTTATAAATAGTTCAAGCTGGCAATCGTATCTAATAGTGTCTATGGAGATTTTTCAGTCATCCAGGTCAGGGTTGTCTCAAAGGTGCTTTCTCAAAAGACAACCGGTACGTTTCTTCCTACTAGTGCTTCCTTCTCCTATTTTCCCCACAACCGCAGCAACCCTGCGAGGTTGCCGGCCTGAGACCGGCTGTCTTGCTCCCTGGTGCTACCACAGTCACCCAGCTGCTTTTTCATGCCTAAGGCAGGACTACAACTCTCTGTCTCCTGGTTCCAGCCTGGAGCCTTAGCCTGGCCACCCCCTCCTCTGAGGAAGGGAACATGCTTCCCTTGGCCCTGACGGAGCGTTTCAGCTGCAGCCGCTCACTGTCCTGGACTCGGAAGCCCCAGGCTCTGGGTGCAAATCCTGGCCAGAGCTTGCCCATCCCTGCTTGAGGGGGGCCATGTTCCTCTTTCCATCCCACCCTGCCCTTGAGAGAGAGGCTGGCCCTCTGGCTTTCCACGTGGGGAGCCAAGGCCTGGAGTGACTGGGCCAGGGGCTCTCTTCCAGCGCTGCATGGAGGGCTGAAACTTGAGCAGTTTCAGGTTGGCAAAAGATTTGGTGCGCCGATCCTCTGCCGGGGGTGGAGTGACCCTGTGGACAGACTGCCTTCCTCTGCACTGGAGCTAAAACCTTGTTGGGGTGGCTACCAGGAAGAGGAGCCCATGGGAGGGGTGGGCTGGAGTGTTGAGGCAGTAGGAGAACAGGGCGGTTCATCTGAAACTCTGGTGCCCACAGCTGGTTGGGACAGCAGGCAGGCTGAAACAGCAGGCGCCCCGGGCATGGCATGGGGTGTGGGGGGGGGGGAGGACTGGTACAGGACAGGTGGCTGGCTCCTCGGGACACCCAGCACACCCCCCACTTGGTCTTTCAGAGGGCTGGCTCTGGCCACAGCCCAGCCTGACTTGCCTCTTACCCCCTTGGCCAGGTGTCTCCAGAACTACATCCCACCCCAGAGCCTGACCCTCTCCTGCCCCGTCTGCCGCCAGACCTCCATCCTCCCCGAGAAGGGGGTGGCTGCTCTGCAGAACAACTTCTTCATCACGAACCTCATGGAAGTGCTCCAGCGCCAGCCCGACAGTGCCGGCCATGAGGATGCCATCGCCATGCTGGACTCTGTCAGTGCAGTGCCGGGCAAGCCACTCTCCTGCCCCAATCACGAGGGGAAGGTACGTGTGGGGCTCGCGCTTGTGGGGCGGATCAGTGGGAGGGACTTTGGCCAGCCCTCTTTTTGCCCCTTTGCCCACAAGCTTTCCCTTGCCAGCGGGAGAGTAGGGTGTCCACATCTCCGCTTTCTTTTTCAAAACCAGAGGGGCTTTCTGGGGGCAGGAGCCAGGGGTCTGTCTTCAAGGCAGCCATGCTAGCTGGGGATTGGGTCTCAAGGGTCGAGGGCTTACCAGCTTCCCATCTTCCGCCAGACCATGGAGTACTACTGCGAGGCCTGTGAGACGGCCATGTGCCATGAGTGCACAGTGGGGGAGCACCGGGAACATGTGACGGTACCTCTGCGGGATGTGGTGGAGCAGCACAAGGCCTCGCTGCGCCAGCAGCTGGACGCCATCAAGAGCCGGTATTGCACGGGTGGGCTATAGGTCCAGCTGGTGGGCTGGGGGCTGTTACTCTGCTGCACAACCCAGATTCCTGAGGGTCCTCCTTGTCTCCCAGCCTGCCACAGCTGGCCGCAGCCGTGGAACTCGTGTCTGGGATCAGTCAGCAGCTGGTGGAGCGCAAGAATGATGCTGTGGCTGAGATCGGGAGCACTTTTACTGAGCTGGAGAAGGCCCTGGGGCAGCGTAAGGGGCTGCTGGTCCGAGACCTGGAGGCCCTCTGTGGGGCCAAACAAAAGGTAAACCCAGAGAATGAGGGGGTCTCCTCTCGGGTCCTGGCAGCCCCCCCTTGCTTCCTCCGCCAGCTTGAGAAGACAGTAGCTGAGAGGCTCTTGGTGGCTTGGCTCCATAGGCAGAGCCTTCCAGGCCAGGTAGGGGCAGGAGGGGGCTCTTGCCCTTGCCAGTCCTGCTCTGCTCCTTGGCAGCTAAAGGGTGGCTGTCTCCCCCCCTCGTCCAGCTCCTGGGGCGTCTCGCTGGGTAGGACTGAGCCCCTTCTTCCCTTGCTCAGGTTCTGCAGGCCCAGCTGGAAGTCCTGCGCCAGGGCCAGGAGAACATCCTCAGCAGCTGCAGCTTCACTGAGCAGGCACTGGACCACGGCTCGGAGATGGAGGTGCTGCTGGTGAAGAAGCAAATGAGCGAGCGGCTGAACGAGCTGGCCAGTCGGGAGTTCCCCGAGCAGCCTCATGAGAATGCCCAGGTGGACTATGTGGTGGAGACGGAGGGCGTGCGCAAGTCCATTCTGAATCTGGGCGTGCTGCTCACTACCAGTGCCATTGCCCACAAGACGGTGGCAACAGGCGAAGGCCTCCGCCACGCCGTGGTGGGCCAGGCTGCCTCGCTGACCATCACCACCAAGGACAAGGATGGGGAGCTGGTGCGCAATGGCAGTGCCTGCCTGCAGGCCAAGGTGGTGGCGCCTGACAACTGCACCTTGGAACATGAGGTGCAGGACAACAAGAACGGCACTTACGAACTGCTCTACACGCCGCGCCAGGAGGGTGACCATGTCCTCTCTATATGCCTCTATGGGCAGCCCATCCGCAGCAGTCCCTTCCGGGTCAAGGCTGTCAAGGCCTCTGACGTGCCCCCGTCCCCAGATGATGTCAAGCGCCGTGTGAAGTCCCCAAGCAGTGGCCACATCCGCCAGAAGGCTGTTCGCCGCCCCTCCAGCATGTACAGCAGTGGCAAGAAGAAGGAGAACCCCATTGAGGACGAACTGATCTTCCGCGTCGGTCAGTGCCAGGGTGGGATGGAGGCAAGGGAAGCCACTGTGGCTCCTGGCTGGGTTGGTGGCCCCCACCTGGCCTCACTTGGTGCCCCTCTCTTGGCAGGAAGCCGGGGTCGGGAAAAAGGCGAATTCACCAACCTGCAGGGCATCTCCACATCTAGCAGCGGGCGCATCGTGGTGGCAGACAGCAACAACCAGTGTGTGCAGGTAGGAGCAGCTCCACCACAGGCCCCAGGGTGGCTGCCTGGGACCCCTTCACAGGTGCTCTCTCCCCTCCCCCTGCCCACCAGGTCTTCTCCAACGAGGGCCAGTTTAGGCTGCGCTTTGGCGTACGGGGACGCTCTCCAGGACAGTTGCAGCGTCCCACTGGGGTTACGGTGGACCTTAATGGTGACATCATCATCGCAGACTATGACAATCGCTGGGTCAGCATCTTCTCCCCCGAAGGCAAATTCAAGGTGAGCATCTGGGGAGGCAGACGTGATTTGCAGGTTGGGGTCTCTGCTGGTTTCGGTGGTCCCCATCATGTCAGGGACTGGAAGCTTGCCATCTGCCTTTGCCCAGTAATGAGCCGCTCCTGGTTGACCCTCTTCAGATGTGTTAGATTCCCCTTCTTAGTTCTTGGAAGAGGGAGTGGGTGATGGGACTTGTGCTGCAACCCATGTTGGTTAGGGAGTTTTGGTCTGCTGAATGGCTGCAGTGGGGACTGGGGGAGGCTGTGCAGCCCTTCTGCCTGATCCTTCTCTAAAGCAGGCATGTCAAACGCGCAACATCACATGACGTTGCGCGATATATTGGAGCTTTTTCTCCATTGCCGGCAATGGGGTGGGCGCGGTTGTGGGATGACGCATCCGACCCGCGGGCCGGCAGTTTGACACCCCTGCTCAAACTGCCAGGTGAGGGGTCAGGAAGACCTGCTCCTGGGGCTGACATCCATGTGGTGATGTCCTGGAATTGGCACATGCCTGTATGCCTTCCTCCCCAGACTAAGATTGGAGCCGGGCGCCTGATGGGCCCCAAGGGTGTGGCGGTGGACCGTAATGGGCACATAATTGTGGTGGACAACAAGGCGTGTTGTGTCTTCATCTTCCAATCTAACGGAAAACTGGTAGCCAAGTTTGGGAGCCGTGGCACGTCGGAGCGCCAGTTTGCAGGTGCCCTCAATAGTTCCTCTCCTTTGCCTCCGGCCCATCTGGGAAGGGTTGGGAAGCCACCCTTTCAAGGCCACCCTCGTCCTGCCTGTGAGAGAGTGGCGTCGGAGGATGGGGACTGCCCCCGCCCCCTCTGTGTTTCGGCTGTTCCATTGCCGCCCAGGGGTGGGTGGGCAGCTGGGTCCTTCCAGCTGCTACAACCCTTCTCTGGTTGCCTGGGCAGAGGGTGGGTGGTGAAGCAGACTCCCTCTTGCCAGCTTTCACTCTTTGTGCAATGGCAGCTTTGGGAGTGATGGGAATGTCGGGGCAGGCAGAGGCGGGTCTATCCCCCCTCCCCCCCCAGCCAATTCCCCAAACCAAAGCATAGACTGGCAGGTGGTTGCTCTGCCAGCATTTCTGCTGGGTCTTTGTGGAGGCAGCGCCCCTTCTCCTGCCCTGCAGAGCAGCAGATGCATCTCTCTGGCTCTGGACACTTGGCCTGCCTGGGCTGCCTTTGGCCCAGCGCTCCCTGTTGGCTGACCTGGAGCCTAAGCTGGTTATAAGCCCCTGGAGATTTGGGGGGCTTTCTGGGCCAAATAGACTTTGGGGGGAAGAAGCTGGAGCTTGTTCTCTTGTTCATTACCTTCAGGATTGGGATCGGCCCTTGGTCTCCCTGCTCCCCGATTGTCAGGTCCTTCCCATTCATTCCTTCCGGATTCCCCTGCTCCTTGCAGTTCCTTGCTGTGTGGCTCTTCCTCACTTCTTTCCTCCCATTTTCTTTGCTCAGGACCACACTTTGTGGCTGTCAACAACAAGAATGAAATTGTGGTGACCGACTTCCACAACCACTCTGTGAAGGTGAGAGAGGGGCCGGGCCGTTCCAGGTGATCTTGAGGTCTGGAAGGGGAACTATGCTATTGTTGTGAGGAAGGCTTGGTTGGGGCCCTCAGCAGCTCCTGTGAGTTATGGGCCCCAGCTCCCCCCTCCCGAGCACTTTCCCTGCCTTGGGGAGCAATGTTCCCATGCTGAAACCTGGGGGAGGGGACCTTTGGGCCCCACTGGCTCTGGGGAGACTCCCTGCTTGCCTGGACCCGGGAGGGGAAGCTTTTCGTACAAAGCCCCATGCCTTTGGTTCCTTTTCAAGGACCCCCCCCCAATCACCCAGCAGGCAACTGGAGGCAGGGGCCAGGCAGTCCCTCTTGTGGTGCCATGCTGGGCCTGGGAAGTTCGGCCAAGCCATCCTCCTTCCTCTCCTCAGGTCTACAGTGCGGACGGTGAGTTTCTCTTCAAGTTTGGCTCCCACGGCGAGGGGAACGGGCAGTTCAATGCCCCGACAGGCGTGGCTGTGGATTCCAATGGGAACATCATTGTGGCCGACTGGGGGAACAGCCGGATCCAGGTGCTTGGTGGGAGCTGGGCAGCTCGATCTCTTCCTCCTCAGCAGCCGACCTGGGGGCCAAGTCTGAGGACACCTGAGGTGTTCTGGGGGCACAGAGGTGGCTCCGGGTCCAGGCAGAAAATCAGGGCTGAGCCTGTTAATTGAAGCGGAGGCTGCCATTGAACCCTTTTTCTTTTGGAGCCCTTCATGGGCTGCCGAGCAGGGGGTTCTAGTGATCCAGCAGCCTCTTCCCAGTGTCTCTCAAGGTACCTGGACGAAGGCAGTGGCTTGAACCCTTGGTTCTTGCTCCCGAGGACAATGCAGCCGCTGGCGCTCCTGCTGCATGGCCCTTCGTGCCTGCGTGTGGCCACTGTGTGTGTGCCATGGGGGGGGGGCTTTCCTTCTGCTGCTGCTCAGCGACACCTCACTCCTGCAAAGTGGGCTGGAGCATCTTGCTCTGGGGGGTGTGGGGTGGGAGTGGAGGACACCTCCTCTCAGGCCCAAGCCTGACTGCGTTCCATTGGGGAGGGGCTCCAGCCCCTAATTATTCTGGCTACCCTTTCCTGCCCCATCCAAACGAGGTACATTGCTTTTGAGATGTAGTGACCAGAAGTGGCCGCTGGGGTCCATGGCCAAAGAGGTGCTCTTCCTCTTGACTCCTGAGATCGGCCGTGTGAGGGTAGTGCTGTCTCCCATCAGGGTTCATGGCCCGCTGCTCTCTTCCAGGTCTTCGACAGCTCGGGCTCCTTCCTGTCCTACATCAACACCACAGCGGATCCGCTCTATGGGCCACAGGGCTTGGCACTCACCTCGGACGGACACGTGGTGGTGGCTGACTCGGGCAACCACTGTTTCAAGGCTTACCGCTACTTGCAGTAACCCTGGTGGGGCAGGCTGAAAGGGGGGGCTCCCTGAGCTCCTTCTGGCCCGCCTGCTGGACTATGCGCTTGGGGGTGGGCTGGCCCTCCGGGGCCCTTCTCCCCACACCAGATTGGGGGTTCTGCAGCTGTGTGTGAAGGTGCCAACAGCCACAATGGCAGCTATGCAGCACTGGGACAGCTTCCAGGGAGTGGGGGTGGTCCCATAGTCTCCAAAAAAGCTGACCTTTGCCCCCCCAGTGAGGGGGGGAGAGCCTCCCTGAGGGCACCACACCGCTTGCTTTTATGGCTAGGCAGGGCCTTGCCCGATGCCCCAGTAGGAATCCCTTGGAATCTCCTGGCTCTCTCCCAGATTTCCCCCTCCCTTGTTTTTTTTCTGCACTTTATCATTGCCCAGCAAGGGGACCAAAACAGCTCCCCCTCCTCTTAGCAAAGGCCAGCCGGTCACCCAGCTGCAAGGACCGGGAGGGGGACGGATGACCCCTTGGCCAGCTCCAGAGACCATTTCTGCAATGCCTGCAGACACCAGCGAAGCCAATAGAGGCTTCCGGGGGGGGGGGGGACGACCCGGATGACTTCCTAGGAACTGGAAGTTGGGGCTCCACTGAGAAGGCCGGGCCCCACTCCCATGGGGAGGGGGTGGCTTTACCCACCCACCACCCTGTCCCCATTTTCCCTTCTGGATGAAATTCTGGGCTAGCCAGGCATTCTTGTGGTAAAAAAGCCCTTTGGCCAATCTGGCACCCCTCTTTATGTGCTGCTAAGGGGGGGCGGGGGAGCAGCCAGAGGCCCCACAAGGCTCCTATGTTTTGGAGGTCTGGGGGGGGGGGAAAGAGCTGTTCTGCACCAGGTGGAAGGGATCCAGCATTGGTTTCCCTGGCCCCTCGGAAGTGCTGCCTGCCCCCACCCAGCCCTGCAGCTGAGCAGCCCAGCCTGGCTGAGGATGCCCGACCCAGCCCAGTTAGTCCCCCAGAGTGCCAGCTCTGCCCTCCTGCCCTGGCTTTCTACATGCCCCTCCCCTCTGGCTGAGCAGAGGCAGCCATGTGCTAATGGAATTATGTACAAATAAAGTATTCTGAAAATAAACCACCTCTCTGTCAGCTCTGGGGTGGCGCGGGGGGGGGGAATAAGGGGGGGCTACACCTGCTGCTTTCCTAGGGCCACGTCTGCCCACTGCTGCCAGAGCCAGTGGGGGGAAGGGGGTCGAAAGCAGCTTCCGCCTGAAGAAGCCCCCCTGGGACAAATCCTGCACTGCTGGGATCCTAGGAGGATGCTCTTCCCACCCACCCCCGTTTGGGGTTTCCTGCAGCCTGCAGGGGCCTCCCTGGTCTGTCCTGCTGCCCCTCTTCCTGGAGATGCCCCCCGCCTCTCAAACTACCCTCAAACTGAACAGGGACGCGGCCTGATCTGAACCGGTGGCCCCCTCTGGAGGGCGGTGCGGCCTTCCCTGGCAGGCGGCTTTTCCCTCCGGTGGGGGGGCTCCGGCGACGTGCCCTCTTTCCTTGCTGTCCTGCTTACCGGCGGCTTCGACCGCTCAGCGGCCAGGCCCTGGAAGGGTTGGGGGCTGCATTGGCACGAGACGCCGGAGCCCCCCGTGACTACAGGCCCACCTCGGTCAACCCTGGCCACCAGTTCCGACAGCCGCCCCTCCCACCGCCTGGGTTCAAAGCCCCGACACACTTCGTGTCCACGTGCCCGCATTTTGGGCGCCGGGCAACCGGCCGGCGAGCACAGTCGCTAGCCGCCTCCTGGGCTCACGTGGCTGCGGCTCCGGCCAGAGACCGAGGTCGCCCTCCGGACGCCGGGAAAGGCCGGACGACCGGTGCGGACCGCGGGCTCGCTTTGACGGCCTCTGCACGAGAGGCGGGAGAACCTGGCCGGTCACCCGGTGCTGACCTCGGGACCGACAGTCACTCCGGGCTCCCTTACAATCGTAAACCGAGGACCGGCTCTGCCCGGCCGCGCCGCTGACCCGAGGCTTCAGGGGGGCCCCCGCGCCATCGGCCGGGCTGCGCTCCGTCTTTTGCGAAAGGCGAGACGGGCGCCTCCCAACCACGGGAGAGGTGCCGACCGAGTCCACCCCTTCTCCCCGGGCCGCCTCGCTGCTCCCGGGCTCCGCTCCCGCCCTCGGGAAGCCCGCAGAGCGCCCGCCCCGCTAGCTAACCCCCGAACGCTGCCGGCTTTGCTCCTTCGCCAGCCCCGCCCCCTCGGGCCCCTCGGAGAGTCCCTCGGGGAGGGAAGGGAGCAACAGCGACTTGATTGGCCGCCGCCGCCTGACGCAAGAGGGAGCGTCCCAAGCCGGGCGGCGCTGAGGTCTCCTCCTGTAGGGCGCGTGCGCGCTCGGGTGGGGCGGGAGGCTCCCGGGGAATCGCGCAAGGGTTTCCGGGCTGTAGTTAAAAGGCGGAGCCTCGAATCCGCCACGTGGTTTGACCATCAGAGGGTGGATCCCGGCTCCTCCCCCAAGGCCGCCCCTCGACGGGGGGCGGGGGCTTTGGACAGACCGCTTCGGGGAGGAAAGTGGGAGGGGGCGGCTTCCCCAGAGCGCTCGAGCCCCCCCCCTCGATTCTCCTCCCCTTCGGAGCACAGAGCCGGGGAGGGCGAGCGGGACGCCGAGTCAGGCCTTTCTGACGGGGAGCTGGTTTCACACCACCCGCTCGCCCTCCATCCTGTTCCGGCAACCTGCTGTGCCGTGGAAAGAAACCCTCTCCGGGCTTTGTGAGAGGGAGGGGCTCGTGGCGCCCCCAAGCCCGTCCTCTCCCGGCCTTCCGTGGCTGCGGTTCCTTTTGAACCATTGCACCCCTCCACGCCTCTCTTTCCCATCCGGCCAGAGCCCCCCCGGAGCCCCCGCTTCTCTCCCGCCCGAAGCACCGCCGGGAACCCCCTGCGGCAAGGCCCCAAAGGCGGCACCGTGGCCAGCCGAGAAGCCCCCCCCGCCCTCCCTCAGTGGGTCACCTCCCCCCTTCGCTCGCGCCCCCTCCCCCCGTCTCCCGGGGACTCTGACGCGTGGCTTTGGGGTCCTGTTGGGAGAGCTCGAGGGGGGCGCGGCCCGATTTCCCTGGGACCACGGGAAGGGCCGGCAGATCTCCCCGGGGAGGGGGGGCGCAGGGCTGCCTTCTTGCACGGCCCTTTGTCAGACTCCGGCAGCCCCCGGTCCGCTAACCCAGCTGGCGTGGGCTCGGCGCAGCTTCTGCCTCGGCATAAAATGGGTTGGCCAGAAGTCGAGGCTGAGTTGGCGGGTCTCCCCGAGAAGCAGCTGGGAAGGATCAGGCCCACCTATCGGTGCCCGGTGTCTCCTTCCCGGGGGAGGGGCGGGAGGAGGGTTACGGGACTTCCTCCCGTTCCGTCCAGAGATCAGCGGAAGCCCGTTCTTGACATGCCAGAGGAAGGCAAACATCGCCCCTATTTGCAATAGTGGGGGGGAGGGGAATCTGGGGCAGCGCCAGCCAGACTCGGACCGGCAGGGATGGGGAGGGGGCCGCGGGGCGGACGGAGCTGCCGGCCTCTCCTTAAAAGCCGAATCTCTAAAAGGGTTTCAGAAATGGGGCCCTTGGCCGAATTCTCACCTGAAAGGTCACAGAATAGCAAGTGGGCTTTGGAGTTCTTTTGGGGGGGTGCATTCGTGGATGTGGTTGTGTATGTGATCTCCAGCCCCCCCCCCTGCTGGAATGGTCCAGGACACCCCCAAATCAGCCTGGCAAGGAAATGGCACAGGTGGGCAGGGGTTTCCTTTCCTTGGGAATCGTAAATGAGCAGAGGAGGCAGCGGTTGGTATCTTTGCAGGGAGGGGGGAGCAAGGATCCTCTGTCCCTTCCTCCCCCTCCCCCCCACTGAGGACCAGGGATGGGCACAGAGAGACTTGCACAACCTGGGACAGTCCTGGGAATTTCCTCATAGTTGGGAGCCCCACTCAGCTCCTGCCTCCTCCATCCACTGACCCCCCCCCACCTGCCAGCCCTGTTGTTTTATTTGGCAGCTTCACTCTGTCTGTGTGTGTGTGGGGGGGGGAAGCACCATGTGCTGTTTCCTCATTCTGCTTCAGAGTTTCTGGGAACCGGGCTTATCATCTGTAAACAGGAACATGCCTGACCTTTTAGCATTAGTCTGATCTGTGCATGTTTGCAGAAATTGGATTGAAAAATCCACTGAACAGGCCGTCTTTAGTTCCCCTCTAACTCTGCAGGTTTGGAGCAGCAGCATCTCCAGCGTTTGTGTGAATGCGTCTTTGCCCATTTTTCTAAACACAACAAATCTTTCACTGCCTTCAAGACTGTAACAATGAGGGGGGAAATCCCCCATTCCTGCAGTGGAAGGTGGTCCTTGGATGTATTCTCTCCCCCCCCCCCAGGGAAGATGCTTTAGAACAGTGTTTCCCAAACTTGACAATTTTAAGGCATGTGGACTTCAACTCCCAGAATTCCACAGCCAGCACTGCTGGCTGTGGAATTCTGGGAGTTGAAGTCCACATGCCTTAAAATTGTCAAGTTTGGGAAATACTTCTTTAGAAAAGTTGCTACAGAGAAATTATAAGTGCCCAAGAACATTGCAGAGCGGCACATTCACATGACAGGCAGTTCTCGACTTAAAACAGTTCATTTAATGACTGTCCAAAGATACAATGGCCTTGAAAAAAATCATCGCACCGTCTACAAGTCACGTAATCAAAATTCAGGTACTTGGAAACTGATTCATATTTATGAGGGTGGCTGTATCCTGGGGGTCACGTGACCCCCTTTTGCGTCCTGACAAGCAAGGTCAATGGGGAGGCCGGATTTACTTAACAACCTGTGACTAGCAACTGCAGTGATTCACTTAACTGTGGCAAGAAAGGGAATCTGATTTTGTGGATGCAGCACCACCCGGCGTTCCACTTTTCTGCCATTTTTTTCTTTTTGCAGATAATTCTTCCTGGGCCGGAGGTAGCCCTGGCGTCTTCTCCTCTTGCTGAGGACCCCCACGCTTGTCCCTGCCTGACTTTCATTCTGCCATTGCAGGGTGTGGGTCCTCCCAGCCCAGTGCCTGGGAGGTCTGCCTTCTTCCTTCAAGCCATTAATAATGATTCTGAGGACCCAGGACTGGCCTTTAATGCCTTGACCAGATGATTGTTGGCAAAGTATAGCTAGCCATCCTAATAAAGACACCACCTCCCAGGCTCTGAAAGGGTTTTTTTTTTTTTTAGTAATTTTGGAGGCCATCATTTTGCCTGTCGCTAAGAGATCCCTTTAAATCTGCTTAGCTTTCGTCCAGGACTTCTTGTCTTGTTTCCCAAAGAGCTTGCGGGCAGGACAAGGAGTAACATGTGGCAGAAGAGAGGCTCAACCTAGAAGTAAGGAGGAATTTCCTGGCAGTGAGAACAATCGACCAGTGGGAGGCCTTCCCTCCAGATGAGGTGGGTGCTCCGTCACTGGAGGCCTTTAAGAAGAGACTGGGCAGCTGTTTGTCCAGAATGGTGTGGGGGGTCTCCTGCTTTGGTGGGCGTGGGGGGGTTGGACTAGAAGACCTCTGGGTGCCCTTCTGTTATTCTGTAACTCTTCTGTTCTTGAGATTTCTGGTTTCACTCCAAAAACTTGCAAGGTTTGGGCCTGAATCCTCCCCTGCTCTGAGCAGACAGCCAAACAACCCCCTCCAGGGAGGGCTTGCCCTCCAGAGGTTGGGGGGGGGTTCACTTTCTGGAAGCCTTCAGCTTGACAGTCGGCTTGGGAGGAGCAAGGGAGGGGGGTGGCGGGGGCATTCCTGAGCCTGAGCTCTTGTCTGCTAAGTACACAGAGCCTGTCCCTCCGGCTGGGGAAGAGACAGGCAGCCAGGATGTCTCCCCCCACTTCAGACTCCGCTCAACAGTCCAGCCTAAGCCAGCCCCTGGGCCTCCCCCCAAAGTTCCGCAGCTGCTCCTGTAGTAGCAATGGGGTGTCTCTGAACAGAGGGGGGGGGGCTCAACTTCACCCAGGCCATTGAAGGATTCCCAGCAGCCAGGTTGATCTTTTTCAGGGAGGGGGCGGGGGGAGGAATGACTCCTGGGGGTGTGGCATTGATTTTAGCAGCAGATCAAACTCAACTGTTTAGCCTGGAGTGGGGGGAAGGTATGGGGGGGAGCTGCCATGATGGGGCGCAAGGGGTTAAAGTGGGTGGTCCGGCTTAAGCAATGTGCCAGGTGCTTTCCCAGTTGGGAAACGTTCAGCTGCCCCATATAAGAGGCTGGGCACCAGGCTAGGCTGGCAGCACAGCATCATGGGTGGCCTCTCTGCAGCTCTCTGCCTCAGCTGGGCCCTGGCGTTGGTGGGCACCCACCCCCTGTAAGTGGCTGTGGACCAGGAGGGCACGGGGAGGGGATAAGCCCGGTCCTTGGAGAGGGCCAGAGGCTGGGCTCTGTGCCGTGGTGCAGAGAGGTGAATGATGAGATTTGCAGTGGGGGCCCATGAGCCAGGATCCTACCGGGGATCCCCTTTGGCTCTGGGGCTGTGAGAGGGGACGCCCTGAAAGAGCAAACCCTAATGGGGATTTTTCTGGCAGGGGACACGATAGCCACAGGACAGCCGGCACCTGGCATCATCTGGGCTCGGAGCTTGCAGCCAACAGCACAGGTGGGTGGGCTTCCCTCTGGGCAGAAGCAGACCCTGCAAGCTGCTCTTCTTTGGGATCCCATCTGGGAAAGCCCGCTTCCCCCAAATCTCCCGCTCCTTCCCTGGTGGGTGGGGGAAGGGCAGGGTTTTTCTCTGGGGAGCCCCCAGCACCCCACCCTGAAGTCTGGACCCACTTCAGCCAGGGCAGCACTAAGGGACAGCCAGACGAGCTGGGAGGAGGGAGCTTCAGTCACTGACTTTCACCCTCAGCCAGGGGAGTCTTCCAGGCCTGCAGATGGGTGTGTGTGTGTGAGGGGGGGGGCTGTTATGGAGATGAGCCTCCTCTGCAGATTGGGAGGGGCTCTGGCTGGGGGGACCCTCACTGTAGTGCGTGGGTGTGTGTCACTGACTGCCATCTCCACTGTTCCCCCCCCAGAGGTCACACAGCGCTGTGCAGATGAGGAGGGCTTTGACGCCGTCACGCTGGACGAAGCGGGCACCATGGTCTTTTTCAAAGGCTCTTTGGTCTGGAAGGGCTTCATGGGTGCTGCAGAGCCCATTGGGGACTCCTGGCCTGAGATCCAAGGCCCCATCGACGCCGCCCTCCGAATCCACTACAACGACCCCCAGGACGACATCCATGACAACGTTTTGCTCTTCCAGGTGCCGCCAACCTGCAGGCAGGCTTGGGGGGGGGCAGCTGGGGCCGCCAGGGAAGGAAGGCTGTGGCGAGGGGGCTGGCAGGCTCGGGCAGAGGCGCTTCCAGGGGCATGGACAGGCGGTTGGGAGTCTGTATGAAATGGTGGTCTTGCATCCCCTTGCAGGGCAAGAAGCTCTGGGCGTACCGCAATGGGAACCTTCGGTCCGGCTACCCCAAGCTGATTAAGGAGATGTTCCCAGGCATCCCAGACGATCTGGATGCAGCTGTGGAGTGCCACCCGAAGGAATGTCCGTCTGAGACCATCCTGTTCTTCAAGGGTGAGAAAGGCTCCCTCGCTGGACGATCCAGGGGCAGGTCGGAAGCCTCTGTGCCTCGCCCACTGGAGGGAGGTGTTTGCTCCTTCCCTCTGGCTGCTGCTGCCGCCCCACTCCAGGGCCCCCACCCTGCCCCCCTCCAGCACTAACCCCCCCCTTCCCTGCAGACCCAAGGGTGTTCACCTATGATCTGCGGACGAAGGCGGTGAAGCTGCGTACTTGGCCAGCCGTCTCCAACTGCACCGCGGCCGTGCGCTGGCTGGAGCGCTACTACTGCTTCCAAGGCATCCACTTCCTGCGCTTCGATCCTCTGCGGGGTGATGTGCCGCCCCAGTACCCACGGGATGCCCGGGATTATTTCATGCGCTGCCCTGGACGAGGTGGGTCTCCTCTCGCCCGTGGCTGCTGGGAAAGATGCAGCTGAGCCCTGGGCAGGTGCCTGGCCTGCAAGAGAGGGACGCAGGAAAACTTTGGCCCTGGGTGCCGGGCAGGGCAAGGCCCTGGTGCTCAACCCTGCGCCCTAAGGAGGTGAGGGGGGGGCTGTTCCTGGCTGGGAACCAAGCGGTGTCCTCTACCTCACTGTCTTGCCCTGTACTCCTACAGGCCACGGGGGGGAGTCCCGGAGGAACGCCACACTCTGGAGCATCCTCAATGCCTGCAGTGGGCGTCCTTTCTCGGCCTTCTCCTCTGACGACCCTGGGCGCATCTATGCCTTCCGTGGTAAGCAAGCTGGTTGGGGTGGGTGGGTGGGCAGGGCAAATGTGGGCTACAGGCGCAGCTCAGCGAACCCACAATTGGTCATGTGGGCTACTTCCCTCATGCTTCCATGAGGAGGATTCACATGTGATGAGGCCTAGCCCTGAGTTTGCTCTAAGTCTAGGCTAAGCGGGAGGAGGTGTTAACCGCACCCTCTTGGTCCAGCTGCTGTCCGGTTTGGCCACAGTGTGCGAGGCAGCCTGCCTCTGCTTCTAGGGGTGGTTGGGCCGAGGTGTCTCGTCCTGGGGGCATCTCAGCTGAGGGCTGGTGGAGCCTCCGACTGCTGCCGGCTCTCCTCCTCCACTCAGGCGGCCACTACTTCCGGGTGGACTCTGTACGAGACGGGCTGCATGCTTGGCTTCTGAACCACACCTGGTCAGGGCTGGAGGGCGAGGTGGACGCCGCGTTCAGCTGGGCAGACAAGCTCTACTTCATCCAGGTGAGCTGCCGAGGGAGGCGGGCTTTTGCATCCTTCAAAGATCTGGGCCTCTGCCCCCATCGCAGGATGCTCCTTTAGGGGCGGACAAGCCAGCTGTGGGTCACCGTCTCTGCTCCTGTCCCCTCACCTCAGCTGGGGCAGAGCAGCCCCTCATTTTGTGAGGAAAGCTGGCAATGGGGGCATTCTTCTTGCAAGGGGGCACCCAGCTGCTGCTGCTGCACTGATGCCCCACCCCACACCCCGAGGCAGCCTCCAGGAAGATCATCCTGCAAGAAAGGGGCCTTGCTGGCTTAGACGTGCTTGGCAGCTGAAAAGAGAGAGGGGCCAACCTGGGGCTTTGGCTGCCATTTCAGTAAACTCTCCCCCCCCAGCTCCCTTCAAATGCTCCTGGGCCCTTGACTGCATGTCTTCAGCCCTGGCTTGGCCAGGCCAAAGGGCAGGCCAACCCCGGGAGCCAGCAGAGTGCCCAGTAGAACCGCAGTCCCTTCAGAGAGCCCCAGAAAAGGACTGAAATTTGGGGCAGCAACCAGGGCATCCTGGAGGTGCCAGCCTCGGAGGTCCATTGGGGGGCAGGGTGGGGGGCACCTGAGGCTCAGCAGCTGCCCTTTCTGTCTCTCCCTGCTCCCTGCAGGACTCCCAGGTCACCATCTACAGATCTGAGCACGGCTACATCCGTGTGGAAGGCTACCCCCGGCCCCTCCTGGAGGAGCTGGGTGTGTCCCAAGCAGACGCTGCCTTCACTTGCCCTCACTCCTCGGTGCTATACATCATCCAAGGTGCGCAACCAAAGGGGGGGGGGTGGATGGATGGTTGCTCTTCTTGATGGGGGAGGGGCTCAGAGGGCAACCTCTCCCAAGGACACCCCTTCTGGGTCTAGCCAGTCCCTGACCTCGCTTAAATTCCAAAGCAAATCACAGCTTTGTATTGTGAGTGGCTTAGATCTCTGATGGGCTAGAGAAGGAACACAAAACGAAAACACAACTCTCACCCCATTCCTAACCCAAAGCGCAGGTGAAAAGCTCAACCACCCCTGCGAGGGATTGTCCTGAAACCAGGCTCTTCACCTGGGAAACACCTGGCACCAGGAATCCCCCCCCCCCCCCGCTAAGCAGGATCCCATCCATGTGTGTGCGTGCAATGAAGTTGCGAAGGAAGCAGATGAGAGGAGGGGGGGCTTTGGAGACTTGGAATGGGGGGAGGGCGTTTCTGTTTGTGGCCAGCCCCACCCAGCCTGGCATCCCGGATCAAGGCCCTTCTGACCGGATACCCCTCTCTCCCTCCCAGGAAATCACCTTCTGCTGATTGACCTGCATCAGAGTCCTCGTCGCCCCGGGCCAGCACGGCTCATCCCCCACCCCCGCGTGGACAGCGCCATCTGCACCACCAAGGGGGTCTTCCTGTTCGTCGGGGCGGACTTCCACCAGTACCAGGACGTGGCCCAGCTCAGCGCCGCCACCGTCCCCGCGCCAGCCCAGAACACAGCGGCCGTCCTTTTCCGCTGCTCTCCCTCCGGGGCTCCCCAGCATTCTCCCCCGGACGGGCACCGTCCCCGAGACACCCCTCAATAAACCTGTCTCAGCAATTCTGTGAATGCTGCGTGTGTGAGAGAGACGCCCACTCGGCAAGGAGCACTGCAGACCAGCACGGGGGGGGGAGTACAGGGGGGAGGGGGTCTGGACCCAGACAGCGCCGAAGCCCACTCGGGCGCAGCTGTCTCAGAGGGGACCTAGCCGCACCGCCTCCGGAGCGGGGACCGAGCGTGCAGGAAGGGCGATACGAGTCGGGCTCGGTAGAACAGGCTTTTATTGAGGGCCGCTTAACTCGGCCGTTGGCAAGCGGGAGCCCGCTGGCCTCGGGGGGCTTAGCCGAAAATGCAGACGGTGCCTGAGGCCAGGCGGTGGTGGTACTCGTGCAGGAGGCTGGCGGCCAGCGGGAAGCTGCTCTTTGTTTCCAGCTTCCCCGGCACCACCAGGACGGTGACGCCGGGCCCCAGCCCTTCGGCCAGCTTCTGCAGCATGCGGCGGGCGAGGTAGCCGCGGGCGCGGGCCGGCTCGGCCTCCAGGCTGGCGTAGACCTCGGGCGGCGGGTTGGGCAGCTTCCACTCCAGCTCGCCAATCAGCTGGTTAGTGCGCGCCCGGTCCAGGGCCGAGGGGCTCTCCCGGTAGCAGGCCACCAGGCGGAGCCCCGCGGCGCCCCGGGCGGTGACGAAGCTGCCCTGGGCCAGCACCTCTCCGCCGCCCGCCTCGCCCTCCGCCTCACCCTCCGCCCGCCAGGCCATCACGGCCCAGCACAGCCAGTCGTAGTTCTGCTCCAGCTTGCGCAGGACCGAGGCGGCCAGCTCGGCCGGGTCGGGGGGCGCCGCCTGCTCCAGGGCGCGCTCCACATCCTCCTGGGCCTGCTCGCGGAAGTAGCCCTTGCACTGGCCCAGCGCCTCCTTCATGCGCCTGTGCAGCGCGGCCACGCGCTGGTCCCAGACGCCCAGCAGCAGGGCCGGGTCGCGCTTGGCCAGCCCCGCCTGGCACAGCAGGCAGAGCAACCCGGCGCCCAGCACGGCGTTCAGCTTCTGGCAGAAGAGCGCCATCTGCGGGCGGCGCGGGCGGTGGCGCTGCACGGCCTGCTCCAGCAGGGGGCGCTGCAGGGTGAGCACGGCGTTGCCCTGCAGGCGGCGCCACAGGCACAGCAGGCGGCGCTCCAGCTTGTCCCGCGCGCAGCTCTGAGCGAAGAGCTCGGTCTCCAGCCGCGCGGCCGGTGGCGCCGCTCGCACCGCCAGGCACAGCTGCCCGAAGGCTGCGGCCACGGAGTCCTCGCAGACGTCCAGCTCGCCGTCCTCCAGCAGCCCCGGGCCCGCGGCCAGCTCGCGCTCCAGCAGCTCCACCTCCCTGCGCACGAAAGCCAGCTCCTCGGCGGTGGCCGCGCCCCCCTGCAGGTGGGACACGACCCCCAGGGCCAGCGAGCGCAGCGACTGCAGGAAGCCCACCGGTTCCAGGCACTGGGAGAAGAGCGCCATGCCGCGTCCTGCAAAGAGAGGCGGGAGGGCTCAGTGTGCTTGCCCGCCGCCAGACGAGGGGCCGGAGCCCGGGACGCCCGCGGTCTACCCGAGGCGGCGTTGCTGACCCTCCGGCCAGGCAGTCAGCGCTGCGGATTTCGTTCCTTCCCCCAGGAGCTGAGCTCCCTGACCGACCGAATGCTGCTTCCACCCGGCCACTGTGGGGGCAGCAAGGTGGCCTGTTCACTGGAAGCCCACGGAGGAATTTTCTTGGCCTCCTTGGTTGGCTGTGGAAGGCCTGGGCCAAGGGGCTCTGGAGGGGTCCATGGCAGCAAAGTCGCCCCTGACCCTCCCCTGGCCACTTAAGGGAAAGGGGCAGAGACCAGTTGAAAGCCTTTTAGGGAGACGGCCGCTGAGTCCTTGGAGGTTTGACCCCCCCCAGGGCCTCAATGAGGGTGAGGTAGGGATGGTGGAAAAGAGGCAGAAAGGGCAGGTAAGCCCCCCCCCATCCTTTGTGGTGACATGTCTCCAAAAAATGTTTTAATTTTTTGGCATTCAAGCTATGGGGAAGAATCCAGAGCTTCCCCATGCCTAGATGGAGGCAGGTGGCTAATTATTTCTACTTAATTGCTGAGCCCCCCCCCCCAATGGAGGAGCACAAGCCACAGGCAAGTCCAGCTGAGCCAAGCTCATTCTCGGGATGACCCAGGCTGGTGGGGCCCACGGCAGCTCCAGGGCCACAGAGGAGGGTGGAGGGGCCCTGCTTCCCCAGGTCTGGCCCAGGCAGTGGTTCCGCTCGGAGGCTGGGCAGGACTCGCCCTCAGGGCTCTCTCTGCCCTTGCGCTGCCCTCCAGGGGAGGCGGGCAGGCAGCCCCAGGAGGAGGAGGAGGGGCTGCCCTCCGGCCTGTGCTGTGAGATGGCCAAGGGCATGGCCCACCTCCTGCATCCAAGGGGGCTGCTGGGCACAGCGGGAGAGGTGGAGGGCAGCCTGTTCCCAGGGGAGGGTCAAAGCTTTCTCAAGGGAGCTGGGCAGAAAAGGGCTTGGTCAGTTTCCCCAGCAGGTGCCCCACAAGCATGCAGTCCCATGGATGCATCGTCTGGCCTGGTGGGGGGCAATGAACAACTTGCTTATCACCCAAAGCCCTCTCCTCAAGGGCAAGGAGCCAGTGCGGATCCCCTTGCAGCAGACACCCTCCCCTTTCTGACCTTCCCTGCCTCAGGTTTTCCCCTGGCATTCTCTCTGCCCAGTTCCCTACTCAGGGCCTCAGCTGGTTGAGCCTTACCTGATGGCCTAGCTCTTGCAAACTTCCACCTGGACTGGACACCTGGTACCTGGTACCTGCTGCGTCCCTGATAAATCCCCAACTTATCTCTGCCCCACCCACCCGAGCCAGGTGCTCATAGGTTTTGCCTTGGGCCTCATCCAGCTGGACCCCCTCCAGAAGCTCTGTGCACGTGTTGAGGGGGTGGGTGGATAGATAGAATTCCCTAGAGAGAATGCTGTGTGTGTGTGTGTGTGTGTGTGTGTGTGACTGTGACTTTCATGCCTTCTCTTCAGTGTTCCCCACCTAGTTTTCTGCTTGTTGGTGGCTTTTCAGGAGCTGGCAGGTTGAGGCGGGTTGAACCCCAATCCTTCAAACAGCCTCTGCTCAATAGGCCTCTGCCCCCTCTGCCCGCTCTCCCTTCCTGGGAGGAAGGAGTCCTGTTCTCCCCTTCCTGGGAGGAAGGAGCCTCTGTCTTGCCCCACTGAGGGAGGGGTGGCTGCAGGCCAGTTTTCAAAGCTCCAAAGGCGTTGCTGATTCGTGCCCAGCTGCCCTGCTTCATTTGGCCTCATTGAAAGGAGGTGCCCACCCTGCCTTGGGGCCTTGGCCCTGGCCTGAGCAGAGCCCCAGAGGCAGCCACGGCTGAGCAGCCCCTCTGCTCTGGGGCAGGTTGTGACTTCCATGCCCCCTCCTTGGCATCTTCAGGGCAGCCCCCGCTTCTCTTTCACTGGACTAGGAGACACCCAGCCGGAAGGGGGAGGGTTAAGTGTGTGTGTGTGGGAGGGGGTTGCTAGCAGGTATGGACTCTGGTGCAGGAGCCTATGGATGCTGGAGAAGATGGGCAGCTGCACCAGACCTCAGCCCTTTTGCCAGTGCTGGGGAAAGAGGGCGCAGCTGCAGGCTGGGAGGGGCACCCTTGTCTCCCTCTTACTGCTGTCCTACATGTGTCACCGTGCTTGCATGATCTTGGGGAGAGGTGTGGAAAATTGATGGTGCAAAGTGGCAGAAGATGGGGGCTGTTGTATTGCTTCTCTTGTTGGTGCCCTGTCCCTGCCCGCCTATTGAGTCTCTTCCTTGCTGCACTTGGTATCCAGGGCGTTTTTGATGGCTCTCCCTCGTAGCCCCACTGAGCTTCAGAGCATCACGGTGGTTGTGGCTGCACAGGACTCTGCTTGAGTGGCTCTGAGGGCTGCCTTCTCATGCTGGCCCAGGAGGCCAGAGGCCAACCAGCCGGTTGCCCAGCTGGCATGCAGACCTGCAAGATAGGTCACGCTCCTGCCCAGGCCACAGCCTGGCATCCAAGGCAGAACCCTGCTCTCTGCTGCTTTTCTTCTGCTTCCCCTCACAGGACTAAGTGAAGGACCAACTTCATGGCTTTTTATGGATTTTTAATTCAAACATGATTTTATTCTAAGTATATAAAATGTTACCAGTGCTAACAATTTTGTTTTATAATTTGCAATATCCCCTTAGCAACACTTGGAAAGATAGACTCAAGATTCAGAAAATCTTGACAGACTTGAGCCCTAACCAACAAGTCAGTAGTGAGAAAAGCACAGCCTGCACTCAGGCAAAAAAAAGCAAAGAAACAAACAAATAAAAAAAACAAATCCACAGGCACAGAAGAGGCAGTGCCTGGTTCAATAGCAGTAACTGCAAGAGAGATCTCGGAGTCCTACCACACCACCATTTAAATAGGAGCCAGCCATGTGCTGCAGCTGCCCAAAAAGCCAACTCAGTCCTGGGCTGCATCAACACAGCATCCAGTTCATGTAAGGGACAGTCCCACTTTGCATTGCACTGGTGAGGCCACACTTGGAATTCTGCATCCAGTTCCGGTCACCACGATAGAAAAAAGATCCTAGAAAGTGCAGAGAAGAGCAACCAAGATGATAGAAGGTCTGGAGGCTAAACCAAACAATGAGCGATTGAAGGAACTGGTTATGTCTAGCTAGCCAATGTTTCTCAACCTTGACAATTTTAAGACATGTGGACTTCAACTCCCAGAATTCCACAGCCAGCAATGCTGGCTGTGGAATTCTGGGAGTTGAAGTCCACATGCCTTAAAATTGTCAAGGTTGTGAAACACTGAGCTAGCCTAACAACAAGAAGGATGGCTGTCTTCCAGTACTTGAGGGGCTATCACAGTGAAGAGAGGGGGGTCCACCTATTCTCCAAAGCACCTGAGAGCAGGACAAGGAGCAACGGGTGGAAGATCTTCAAAGAGAAATCCAAGCTAGAACTAAGGAATTTCCTGACAAGAAGAACAGTTAATCAGCAGAATAGCTTGCCTCCCTAATTGCTGGAGGTTTTTAAGATTCAACATTCATTTGACCAGGATGCTACCGGTATAAGGGCTCCTGCTTGGAAAGGGGGTTGGACTAGAAGACCTCCAAGGTCCCTTTTTGATCTATGAGTCTAAGCCCAGAACATTCCCTCCCCTCCCCAATGCTCCCCTGTTCAGCATTTTCTTTCGTGCGGCCCCAGTTTGATATCCAGGGCGCACCCCTCCGAACCAGCGCCCCGCCGGGTGCCTGAGCGTCCGGGCCCTCCGAACAGCAGGCTGGCTGCCTTTTCGGGATTCCCCGCCTGCCCTGCGGAGAACCGGACCCAGGGGAGAACTAGCAGCCGGGGGGGGGACCAGGGCGACGAGGAGCTGGGTTGAGGTTTGTTTATGCGAGCACAAAAAGGAGGCGCCCCCTCAACGCGTTTGCCCGAGACCGAACAGGCGTCAACGCCCGTCCTGCGGTGCGCGGGAGGACGTGCCTTCGGGCGCCGCGCGATGCCTGGTCCCGGTCCGCAGCCGCCGCCCTGGCTCGCTTCTCGCTGGCGCCCGGACCGCCGCCCGCTCTCCGCCCACCCCTGGGCTCTGCGGGGACGGGCGAGGGGCGCTCACCTAGCCCCGGGCGGCCCCGGCGGAAGGTGCTGGGGGGCAGCGGCGATCCCGATGGCTGCCGCCGCTCCCTCGCCCGGCCAGCCCCTCGCCCGGGAGGGGCTCGTCGGTCTCGGAAGCGGAAACGACGCCTCCCCCCCTCCGACCCCCCCCACCCGCCGCCATCTCCCTCCTTACGGAAGCGTCGCTGCAGCTGCAGGTACCCAGCGCGGGCGGGCGGGCGGGGGCTGCCGCTGCCGAGCCTTCGGGGCGGCCGCCGAGCCGGAGCCGCCGGTGCTGCGCCTGGAGCCCGTCGGGCCGCGGGAGGGAGGGCCCGAGCGCCGCCGTCCTCCCCGCCGGAGCAGGCGAGCTGCGGCCAGATCTCCCTGGGTCTCCCCCGGCCCCCTGCCCCCCCGTCCCCCCCGCAGCAGGAGGGGCCTGGCCGGGAGGAGCGCCTGTCCGACGCGATGTCCGCGCCGGCTCGAGCTGGGAAGGCCAGGCGGCCGGGCAGCGACTAGCGGCTTGGCTCCGGGCGACGCCGTCAGCGGGGCGGGCGGAGGGCTCGAGGGCTTCGGGTGCCCCTTCCAGGCCGCCAAACAGGGTGAGGGGAGGAGGACCGGAGGGTGGGGGGTAGCTGGGACCGGCGAGCGCCCCAGGCCTGCCCAGACGGCCTCTCTGACCCCCAGGCCCGAGGGCGAAAAGGAGCCGGGCTGAGGGCCGCCCTCCCGGCTGGGCAGGCGAGAGTTCAGAGAGGAACGCCGGAGCTCTTCCTGGAGGAGGGGGCTGCAGCCCCCCCGGGATTGAAGGAAATGGCAGCCACCGCCTGCTGGCTCCGGGGCCTTCAAGGGGCCGGTCGGAGTCACTAAGTCTGGTCCCGGGTGGCACATCTGGAAAAGGTTGTGAGGGCCCCGAAGGAAGCCGAGGCAGCCCCAGTAACCGAAGGGGATCAGCCCCATCCGTGGGCAGAGACTGCCGCGGGGTCCGGCTCCGAGGCCCCCTGCTGCCCCTGGGTCAGAGAGGGAAGCCAGGCTCCGAGGGTCCCCGGCAGCATCTCCTGCCTGCAGACCCAGAAGCTTCGGCCTGGCCCCTGGGAGGAGCCAGGGCCGTTCATAGGATGCTGCCCCAGCCCCTGACCTGATTGCTCACCAGGGGAATCGACCCAGGCAGGACGCCGGCTCCCAGTCCCAGCTGAGGGGGAGAAGGACAAGGCCAGAGCAGCCTCGCCCTACTGGAAAGCCCACCCCCAGCCTCCAGTGGGCCACGGCAAGAGGCAAAATGGGTCTCATCCTGACCTGGCAGGGCTGTCCTTCAGGTGTGGTGCTGACCGTGATGTGGATGGCCGCGAGTGGGATTGGGGCCATCCAGGGCGCACTGTCCACCCTTGGCTGAAGGTCCCAAAGAGCTTCCCTCCAAATGCCAGGGGAAGGGAACCAACAGGCCCCCCCAGCCCCAGCGACCTCTAACTGCTCAGAGGGGACTCGGGAGACCAAACTGGGAGGCACCCGGCCTGCTCCAGCCGAGCCCCTCTGCCCTGGAACTGACGGCCTGCCTGCCTCTCCCCGCTGCCCCCAGGAGCTGAATGCTGCCCAGTCTTCCTTGGACTGCCCCCCAAGATTCCCCCGAGGCATGTAGCTGCGCTTCTCTCCCTCCGGCCCAGGATCGGTAAGTCCCTGGCCGGGTCTTCCGGGAGCCGGCTCTTGACTTGGGCTGGGAGGGCATGCGAAGAGCAGTTCAGAGCTTTGGCCCACCCAGCTCGGGACGGGGTGGAGGAAGGGAGGTTTTCTGGGGCCCGGGACTGTTCCTGCCCCTGATCTTTGACCTGCTCCGACATCCATCTCTGGCCTTCATTCCCACAGCCAAAGGCCAGGCCGGGTCCACCAGAGGAGTTTAATTGGGTGACCAAACTAGCTGCTTTCTGTGCACAGCAGGCTATGCTTACCAATCAAAGCCAATCCTAACCAGGACCCTGCTGGCCTGGGGGGGGGGCTCTTCCCTCCCAAGGAGAGCGGTGCAGGGGTGCATGGAAGGGGGGGCTCAGGGGAGGGGTGTCCCTGCGTTGGGATTGCTCCCTCACAGCTGTAACCGGTCGCTTCCTCTCCCTGTCCGGGGCTCATCAGTCTTCCCCAGCGCCCAGCATCATGTCCACCTCGCTGAGCAAGCGGAGCAGCCTGGCCAACGACAACGGCTGCCTGGGCCTCAGCCTGGCCTTGGTGGCCCCGCCGGGGGGGCCGGTCCTGCCGCACAAGGGGCGCTGCGCCTACAGCTGCGGGGAGCTGCAGAGCCTCCTGGGGCTGCCGCCTTCCGTGGAGGAGCCCTCTAACTGCAAGTGGGTGAAGGAGGGGCAGAACCAGCTGCGGCAGGCGGCGGAGCGTGGCCGCGACCAGAACCGCAACGAAGTGAGCCTTCCCAGCAAGGAGCTGAGCGCGCTGCTGGTCCCACTGACGGGGCAGGAGGGCCAGGGCCGGGCGGAGGACCCCGAGGACCAGGAACAGGAGGAAGACGAAGAGGAGGAGGAGGAGGAAGAGGAGGAGGAAGGCTCCACCCCGGTCCAGAGTGAGCCTGTGACCGAGTCGGAGCAGAGCTCGGAGCGGGCACTGCCTCGGGGGGAGCAAGGCCGCAGCGCCAGCCTCCTCTTTGCCACCCGCAACAGCACCGCCAGCGACGAAGACTCCAGCTGGGCCACGCTCAGCCAGGGCAGTCCGACCGGCAGCTCCCCGGATGAAGCCGGTGGGTCATTTGGGGGGGCACGGCAGAGGGCAGGAGGGACCATCAGTGGCTTGCTGGAGGGGAGCCCAAAGGCAGAGATGCACACTGCCACGTGCCTGTGCCAGGCAGAGCCAGGCGACTTGGACAAGCGAGCCAAGTCACGCAAGAGGAGGGAACGCACTGGGGGGGGGGAGGATTATCTTGGCCCCCTCTTCCCTGCATGTTAAAACTGATCTTTGGGGAGTTTTAAGAGGACAACTGCAGAAGTTCTGGGTTAGGGTGTGTGCTGGACAGCTTGGGGCTGCTTTCTAGGATGCCCCCCCCCCTTGTCGGTTGGCAGCATTGCTCCTGTGCCTCCGAAGGCCCCTGGGGGAGCAGTGATGTCAGCAGGTGCCTGGCACAGCCCCCTCCCCCCGGGACTGCCTAGTGCCCAGCAACCAGCCCTGGGTGCTCCTCTGGTCCTGCCCCCTGCAGCTGTGGCTGTCTCCAGCAGCCTCCATGGGCAGGGGAGGCTTTCCATACCCCCCCCCCCGTTCCTCTTGTCCCTGGGGAGCCAGGTTGCGGCTCCTTGCCTGGCGAGATGCACGTTGCCTGGGAGGAAGAAGGGGGGCTTTTGGGGTGGACGGGGAGTGGGCTGAGCGACGTGGACTGGCAAGAAGCTGGTGGGCCCTGGGGCTACAAGGGGTGGGGGAGGGCAAAGACTGGGGGGGCTATTTAAATTATTTTGGGTTTTGGTCTGTGAAACATTTATGTCGGGCTGCAAGAACAGCTCCTGCCCGTTGCCACCGACAAGGGATGGTTGGCTGTGCTGCAGCTGGCCTTTTTCCGGGTGGAGGGTGGGGGGTGAGAGAAGCCACTGAGTAGTGAGGGGGGCTGGGTGGAGCAGGGGAGCCAGTGGAAGGAGGCAGGGGGTCAGCAAAGGGGCAGGGAGCACAGCGGCTGGTGGGAGGGGGGTAAAGGCAAAACTAAGGATGTTTACCGTGGTTTTAATTCTCTTTCTCTCATCTTTGGTGCCTGGGCAGAGAGCCTGAGGGGGCTGTGAAGGGGGCACTTAGGGGGCAAAATCCCTCCCTCCTTCCCTTTCCTGTGACTCTGCTGCGACCCAGCCCCTCCTGCCTTGGTTTTGCCCCTCCCCTAGGGAAACAAGGCCTTCAGGCTGCCTTTGCTGGGGAGGGGAGGGGTGTGTGGCTAAGGAGGCTGGGGGGGGGTCTCATTTACCTGCCCCATTGCAGGCAAGGGTTGCTGAAGAGAAGGCAGCTTGTAGCAGCCCTGGGGCTGAGACAGGGCAGACTGGCAGGCTCTCAGGCCCCCTTCGGGGGTCTGGACGGAGGGCTGGGCTTAGTCTGGGGATACCTGGTGGGATTTCCGGCAAGAGCCAGCGGTCCCTCTGGTGCCTGCGGGGATGGACCAGGGCTGGCAGGGGGAGTTGGCAGGCGACCCCTGCCTGGTTCCTTCCCAGCTCCTCTGGCTGACGGACGGTTTGGGGTCCAGTGAGGCTGGGAGGAGAGGGTTGGAGCAAGGAGCACTGTGTCCACGATGCCCAGCCTTCCGGGGCCGGAGGGCCTGGGGCAGCGGTGCTCAGAGCACGCTGTGACCGTGCCAGCACAAGGAGAGCCTTGTGCAAACCCTGCCTTGGCACAGTTGCGTGGGCACACAGACATCCGCCCCAGGAGGTGCCTGTGTGCCAGCACAGCTGGGCCAAGGCAGGAAGCAAGAACTGGCCCGGTTCCAGGAAGGCTCTTTCCTGTCGGTCCCGGGTCAACGCAGAATCTTCCGGCCTCCTTCGCGGGGGCTCCCGGAGGCCTAAAGCCTCTTGGGGGGGTTTCTTCCCAGGCTGGGCTGAGTGGCGCTTCAGAGACTTGCTCGCCTTCCCTCCCTCGATTGCTTTCAGCTGCTCCTCTTCCTTTCCTCCCCCGCCCCACCCTTCGCCCCTCCCCCTCCCCCCTGGGTGGCAGGAGTGGCAGAGAGCCACGGGGGGGGTTGCTTCCCACCAGACCCCTCACTCCGGACCCCCAACCCAGCTGACCTCGCTCCTTTTTTTTGGCAGACTCCTTCTGGCTGTGTAACTCCCTGGAGACAGACTCTGACCTCCCAGCAGGATGGATGCGGGTTCAAGATACGTCCGGCACCTACTACTGGCACATTCCGACGGGCACCACCCAATGGGAGCCTCCCTTGGGCAGCGGGAGGGGCGACTCGGCAGGAAACACCCCCACCCGGGAGACTCAGGTGAAAGGCTGGGGGGGAGGACCTGGCCCCTTTCTGCCTCAAGGGCCCCTCCTCAGATCGCCAGGTGCCAGGCAGGTCCCTGCCTTGGGCGGCAGACAGCTTGGAGCCGAGGATTTGCTTATTTATTTAGTATTTATTTTTGTCCTGCCTTTATTATATGTTTTCCATAACTCAATGCAACAAACATAACTAATACTTCTTGCTCCTCTTGTTTCCCCACAACAACAACAACCTTGTAAGGTGCATTGGGAGAGATTGACCCAGAGTTACCCAGCTGGCTGGCTTTCATGGCTAAGGCGGGACTAGAACTCCCAGTCTCCTGGCGATTGGTCCAAAGTCACCCAGATGGCTTTCGTGGCTAAGGCGGGACTAGAACTCCCAGTCTCCTGGCGATTGGTCCAAAGTCACCCAGATGGCTTTCGTGGCTAAGGCGGGACGAGAACTCCCAGTCTCCTGGCGATTGGTCCAAAGTCACCCAGATGGCTTTCGTGGCTAAGGCGGGACTAGAACTCCCAGTCTCCTGGCGATTGGTCCAAAGTCACCCAGATGGCTTTCGTGGCTAAGGCGGGACGAGAACTCCCAGTCTCCTGGCGATTGGTCCAAAGTCACCCAGATGGCTTTCGTGGCTAAGGCGGGACTAGAACTCCCAGTCTCCTGGCGATTGGTCCAAAGTCACCCAGATGGCTTTCGTGGCTAAGGCGGGACTAGAACTCCCAGTCTCCTGGCGATTGGTCCAAAGTCACCCAGATGGCTTTCGTGGCTAAGGCGGGACTAGAACTCCCAGTCTCCTGGTTTCTAGCCTGGTACCTTAACCACGAGACCGAACTGGTGCCTGGGTCATAGCAGCACCCTCCAGTAGCTGAAAGGCCGCCCCAGGCCTGGTGCTCCAGAGGGCAGGGCCAGGCGTGGATGCCAGATGCAGGATGGAAAGGTGGCAACTCCTAAAGCAGCTGGACAGAGGAGCTGGGCAGAGGGGGGGGGCTCCATCAAGCAGGGCTACCCGTGAGAGCTCCTTCCTTAACGCGGGGGAGGGAAGGGGGGGCTTTGCCTGGCAGTTGCGGTGGGGTGGTTGTGTGAACCCAGCCAGGCCAAGGGAGCCTGTCTTTCCATTCCGGTGGCCTCATTCCAAGGACAGCGTTTGCTGACCCCTCTGCGGGGAGAGCCTCATGGGAAGCTTTGCCCCAGCGGGGGGAGTGTGTGAGGGGCAGTTGGGGGGGGCTCTCCTCTGGTCTTACTCTTCCAAGGCACCTGGTGCCTGTCAGGGCCTCCAGCTGCGTCCTGCCCCCCCCCCCGCCAAGCAACGCCCCTCCCTTCGTGGTCAGCCGTCAGGGGGAGGGTCTGCCTGGGAACGCTCTGCCAGTGGCTGTGGTTCCTGTCAGCTTTGAAGGTGGGAGATGCCCTCCCCATTCATGGGGGGGAGGGGGGTGCAGCCCCTGTGCTCGCTCACTGCTCCTGGGGAGGGCTGGGCCGGCGTGGGAGGGGTTGCCTCCTGTGGCAGCCACTCCCCCTCTGCCCACACAGATCTACCGGGCAGGGGAAGATGGGTCCTTTCCAGACTGGGAGCGCCGGCCAGTTGCCCTGTGGCCGAGGGGAGGCCCTCGGGTGCCGCTGCTGGAGGGGTCTTCTCTCCCCCCTCCTGGCAGGGAATCCCCCCCCTTCCCCTCTCGCTGCAGTTCCTATAGCCAGGCCGGTCTAGTGATTAAGACACCCAGCTAGAAACCAGGAGATGGTGAGTTCTAGTCCTGCCTTAGGCACGAAAGCCGGCCGTGTGGATGGTGACCCTTCTGTCAGCCCAGCCCACCTCGCAGGGGGGTTGTTGTGGGGAAAACAGGAGGAGGAAGGGGTGTTAGGTATGTCTGCTGTGTTGAATTATTTGTCATCTCTTTATAATAACTCGTATTCATAGTAAGGCAGGATAAATATGAATGAACGAAATAATAAAATAAAATATAAAATAAATTGGCAGGGCTTTTTATGCCTCCTACTCCAACGCCCTCAGGGCAAAGCAGGGGCAGGAGGTGGTGGCTGCCAGCAGGGTTTTCTTGCAAGCCTGGGGAGGGGTTTGGGGGGGGGCTGGTGCAAGGAAGCCCCTCCTCCATCGGGACAGAAGTGGAGGGCCAGCTTGGTCTGAGCTGGGCTGCCCAGCAGGGGCAGCTGGAGAAGGGGGGCTCGCTCCCAGCAGAGCCACGGAGATGTGCACATGGAGAAAGTGGGGAGGGGGCGTCCGTGGGCGAGGGGCTCTCTGTTCATCCCCCTCCTTGCCTGCAGCTCACCTGGATGGACTTTGGGCAAACGGACGCAACCCCCAATCCTGACTTCTGGAAGGTGAGCGGCTGCCTGGGCCGGGGAGGGGGGAGGGGCAGGCGGGGGGGGGCTTGCCTGCTCCTCATGGCTTCCCTCCCCCAGGAGATTCCACCGGAGGGGGCGACCCCAGAGCCTCAGTCAGAGGAGGGCCAGCCCAGCTCCGCCTTGGGATCCTCCGGCCTCCGGTGAGTGCCTCTGTGTGTGTGTGGGGGGGGGTCTCGTCCTGGGAGAGGCTCTCCCTCGGGGGTCCCGCCAATATCCGTGCATCAATGCCCAGAAACTGCCTGGCACCCTCCTGGCAAATCACGGCAGCCTCGGAGGGAGGGCAAAAGGGAGCGAAGAAGGGTTCGGGGTACTGCCAGGCTGGTGGGCCAGGGAGGGTCCTTTGCTGGGGGCCATGGGGGGGGCAGAGAGCCATCCTGCCTCCAGATCTCCAGGGGGGCATCAGGGTGTCCACAAAGCCGCAGCATGTGGGGGTCTGGCCTTCCTTCAGGGAGCCTGGGGAGGGGTCTCTGGGTGCTGCGGGTGCATTCTGAAGAGGCTGGGGGGGGGGACCCAGCTGACACCACCCTGGGCCGTTTGTCTTCCAGGTCTTCCCTGGAAGCAGGAGGGGAGGACGCAGCCGGGTGGCTGGGCCTTTCCCCGGGATCGGAGGTAAGACTGCCCGATGCCACGGGGATGGCAGGCTCCCTTGGGCCACTGCAGGCTGGCTTCTGACCCCGCTTGCAGGAGGAACCCCCCCTCAGTCCCCCCCCCCAACAACAGGCGGGATCCTCCAGCTTCCGCGAATGGCCCAGCTGCCTGGCGGAGGATCCTGAGGAGAGGGAGGCCCAGGGAGGGACCCCCGGTGCCCCCTCCTAGGCCTTGCCTGGGGCTGCCCCAGGGTCCCTCCGCTGCCACTTTCACCCGGGGGCAGATTTTCTCTCTGGGGAAGCCCCACATCCCCGGACACGCCTGTCTCCGCTGCTCCCCGCAGTGCTTCTCCGTCCGCTCGCTGGGCTGGGTGGCGGTGGCCGAGGAGGAGCTGGCGCTGGGCAGGAGCGGAGTGGCGGTCAACAACTGCATCCGGCAGCTGGCCGGGCAGGAGCCGGCCCTGGTGGAGGTAAGCGGCTAGTGGGGTGGGCGGCCAGACAGTGTGGGGGGGGAAGGCTCCTGGGGACTCTGGGCCAGCCGAGGGCGGGGGGCCCTGGAGGGCTTGAGAAAGGGCCCGTGGCAGCCGTCCCCCTCCCTGCAGGGCAAGGCCATGCTGCTGGTCCTGGAGAAGGAGCTGCTGAAGCTGCTGGACCCCCAGAAGCGGACAGAGCTGCACTGCCTGCCCATCGCGGCCATCCGGGTCTGGGGCGTCGGGCGGGACAGCGGAAGGTAGGCGGCCCACACACAGCGGAAGGGAGGTGGCCGTGGCGCCTGGGGGCTGCTGGGTGGGTGGGCTTCCCTGGAGGATCCTTTGCCCGGGCCAGAGAGGCTGCCCCCCTGGCCCTCCTCCAGGCTGTGGCTGCTCCACAGGAGCCGGTGGTGGCTGAGCTCCCAGGGGGACGTGGGGCCTTTGCACACTTACGCCTCTTGGCACGCAGGAGAAATGTCCCCCCCCCGTGGGGCGTCCGGGGGAGCCATGGCCACATCCGCTGGCTGTCGTCCCAGTGCCTGGCACCATCCATGCCCCGATGGTGCTCCATGGCCTCTGATGCTGGCCCAGCAAAGAGCCTGGGGTCTCCTCCCAGCCTCTGGGGGCTGTGCGGATCTGCAGTCCAAACCAGCCTGGACTTTTGCCCACCTCTGCGGGAGAGTTTCCCCCCTCTCCAGGTTTGGGTGGGGTGAGCTTCCCCACGCAGACTCACGTCCTGCTCGATGGGGGTGGGGGGCAGGTCTTCCCAAAGGGTCTTGCAGCAGCTCTGGTTGCTGGACCTTCTTCTGATGGGCCAATCCAGGTCCCGGGGCTGCCTGGGGCCTTGGTGGTGCCTGCCCCCTCCCCCCCGAGCCAGAGGGAGGCCCGAGCGACCGATGGGTTCCTTCTTTGGGGCTCCTGGCAGCCTGCCGGAGAGTCTGCGCCCTCTCTTTGAGAAGGGGGGCTGTCCTGATCGGACCAGAGGCTGGGGAGTGGAAGGAGTGAGGCCTTTCTGCCCGCCCCCCTCTGGTGCCCGCCCCTCTCTTCCTTTGCTTTGCCTCGGGATCCAGCGAAAGGTAAGCCCTGCACCAGCCGCCCCGCCAGCCAGCCCCTCCCTGTTCAGGAAGCGCTTCCCCTGCTGGGAGGAGCCTCGGAATGGCCGCCCCCAGCGCCTGCTTGGCAGCCCCCCCGCCTGCCACCGGAGGGGCTTTGCCGGGCCCAACTCTGCCCTGGCATCCTGTGCCTTGGTTTCCAACCCTGGGCCGCCTCGCCCGCAGGGAGTTTGCGTACGTGGCACAAGACCAGCTGGCTCAGATGCTGAAGTGCCACGTCTTCCGGTGTGAAGCTCCCGCCAAGAATATTGCCAGCAGACTCCATGAAATCTGCTCCAAGGTCAGGACCTGCCCCCTCCCCACCACCTTCCCTCTTCCTTGGGGGTCTCCAGCTGCCTGCCTTGTTGGCCCTTGCCCCTCCCTCCCATCTCCTCCGGGGCTGTCCCAAGCAGCTCCTGGGAAGGTGGGCACAAGAGAGGGCCTCCCGCTGGGGCCGGGCACCGTCCTCAGACCCATGCCTCCCCCCCAGTTCTAATGCCATGGGGCAGGATTGTGGCAGCCAGCCTGATGGCCCTTGGGGCGATCTGCTCCTCCAGATTGTGACAGAGCGGCGGAGCGTGCAAAGCTCACTCAACGGGATCTCCCTGGATCCGTCCAAGATGGTGGAAATCCCCTTCCAAGGTAGCTGGGAGATGGGAAGGAGGGGGGGCCTGCGGGTCGGGGGCTTGGGAGGGGGCTCCTTGCCTCCAATCCTGGTTCTGCTTCCCCCCTCCCCTGGGCTGCCGGAGGGGTGCAGGAAGCCCCCGTGTGGAGGGGAGCCATCGGTGGGTCACTTGGGGCCTCCCTGGGAGGGCTGGTGGGAGGGCAGCCAGGCAGAATCGGGAGCCCTTGACTTACAACCGTTATTGAGCTTGGCAGTTACGGTTGTAAGTTATGACAGTCATAAAGTCAATCATCACACAAGTGACCTGATTTTATGCCACTTCTTGTGGCAATTGTAAAATGACCGCAGGGGGTCATTCGGTGAACCCGTTGGTCACCGTGCCCAATTTTTCCAGAAAATGGAAATAAGCGCCAGTTTCTGGCAAAACCGTCTTAAAATGGGGTCATGTGACTGGGGGGTGGTGGTGATGTTGGAACTTTGTAACGGGATCATAAGTAGCTTTTGGGGGGAGCCTCTCATAAGCAACCAGCTGTAAGTCAAGGTCGCCGCTGCTCTCGGCCCTCCCTTTCTTTTCTCCAGTTGAGTTTCCGGCACCCAAAAGCGAATCGGTCCAGAAATTCCAGGTTTACTACTTGGGGAGCGTTTCTGTGGCCAAGCCCGTGGGTAAGCGAGGCGTGGGGAGAGGCGGCGCAGAGGCTTCTGGTGAGACCCCGAGAGGCGGCGGAAGGTGGGGAGCTACCAGTCTCTGGGGACCCACAGTGGAAAGCAAGAAGGGACAACCGTGATCTTTTCATCCTGGCCGCCGCCTCCCGAGACCTCCCATGCATCCGTCCCCAGCTTTTCTGGCTCCACGGACCGGACACAGCGGTGGGCGGCAGGGGGGATGGATGGTTTCACATATGCCAATTTAGCTTTGCCTGCTTGCCCGCCACTTTGGTGGCCAGGTTCCCAACAGGCCACGGACCAGTACTAGTCCATAGCCCAAATGCCATGCTCTAAAGGACTGTCCTTTCTGCGGCAGTGTGACCAAGAAGACCATCCTCAGCTTCCCCTGGGTGGGCTTTCCCAGACCCCTCCCCGTGTCTGGGTGCTCCCCAACCCTTTGGTTGCATGTCCCTTCCTCCCACCATTCCTGGAGACCACCACATTTGTGAGTGGTCTTTTTTCTGCTGAATGGCGCCCTTTGTCAGGATCTCTGACCTCTTTAGATCAGCTTCCCCAAAGGCCTGGTCCTCTGCTTGCATGACTCCTTGTTGGGTGGAGGGTGAAGGCCAGGAGATCAGATCTCCCAGGTCTTCCATTCCCCTTTTGAGATTAGGACTCACTAATCCAGGTCAGGAACTTGACGGACCTTACACTATTAGCAGAGTTGGCTGTGCAGCAGACCCCATGCGAGGACCCTCCCTCCCATCCCCCAGATCAAGGGCAGATTAGTGCCAGCAAAGGGCCCAGGCCACCTTCGGCCTGGGTGGTGGTACTCTGCTTCCCTCGCCCCCAGCCGATCCCAGAAACTGGAATCATCGTCCTGGCTTAGCTGCTGTCGGGGCCCCACGGGCCCTGCCTTGTTGCTCACCCCACCGGGGCGGGCTTAATCACAAGCTTTGGCCCCTCGCCTGCCCCAGTGAGGCCGTCGCTGCCTTTGCTTCTCTAGGCATGGAGGTCATCAACAGCGCCCTCGAGGCAGCCCTGGCATCTGGCAGCAAGGAGCAGTGGGCACCTGCTCAATTCAGCGTGGCACCAGCCACTCTCACCCTCGCCCATCAGCAGGTAAGAGTGCCCGGTGTGTTTGGCAAGAGCAGCCGGGGATGAGCTCTCGGGAGTTGGGCATGGGGAAGCCCTGGAGGGGCCAGAGCAGTCACCCTTTCGCTGTGGGTGGGTCTGTCCTGACGCCTGCCTTCCCTGCAGACCGACGCCGTGCTGTGTGAGTGCCGCGTGCGCTTCCTCTCCTTCATGGGCAGTGGGCAGGACGTCCGCTCCTTCGCCTTCATCATGGCTGCTGCCACTGGCCACTTCCGCTGCCACATGATCTGGTGCGAGCCCAATGCTGCGGGGCTGAGTGAAGCCGTTCAGGCCGCTTGCATGGTGAGTTTGAGGCACTCCTCTTCCCCGCCCGCTGGTTGGCAGAGGCTCTGCCACGCGGCCAAAAGGGCGACGGGGCTCCTGACTGTGCCAGCTCTGTACAATCTGCTGGCAGCTGTGAGTGGCCATTCCTGCTCTCCCCACTGAGCAGTCCTTCCCACCAGTGGCTAACGGCAGCCCACCCATGCCCTGCTGGAGAAGCCCGGATTGCAGGGCATGGCTGGGAGGACCCTGTGCCCCAGGTGCCTGTATCAGCACCGATGCCCTGTCACCGCCTCGCCCCTCCTTTTCAGCTCCGCTACCAGAAATGCTTGGATGCGCGGCCCCAATCCACCAGCAGCTCCTGTCTCCCGGCCTCTCCTGCCGACTCCGTGGCTCGCCGTGTGGGCTCCACAGTTAGGAAGGGCATCCAGGCCCTGCTGGGGACCCTCCAACCCAAACGCCAGGGGTCCCAGACGCCGTGAGCTCCAGGCAGGAGTGAGGGGGACCTGCCCGTCCACCTTGACCCTCCGGGCCAGCAGCGCCACTGGCCTCTTGCCATCAGCCTCGTAGCGCTTTGCCTGCCCTGGTGCGCGGTGCGTGTGTATTCTGCATGAGTGCAAGGTGTCTATTTATGAGGGATGCGTGGATCTGCACAGAAGTGTGACTTTCATGCCAGTGGGGGAAGGGAGGGTGGGCTCCTCTTCAGGCAGCTGTGCCCTGGCCGCCAAACCTGATCCCTGTCCCCGCTGGCCTCTGCCCACCCACTCCTGCAAGTATGGTAGGCCCTGGAATTGGCTGGAGCTGCCGCAGAGGCCCTCCCGGTGTCTGGCCACACACTGGGGAGGGGTCACGGTCTCAGCAACCCCCCCCCCATTTGCCCAGGAGCAGAGGGGGTGGGGGGAGAGCTGCTGCCTCTGCTGTTGCAACAACTCTTTGTCTTGTACTAACCCACAAATAAACTCTGTTCCAACGTCCCCCATCCATCTCTGGCGTGGTGGTGTGATGGGGGAGGGAGCTGCCAATGTCCGTCTCCCCACCCCAGAAGCAGCTAGGGGCCAATTCTGGGGATGATGGGTGCCTGGAAGGGCCGGGGAGTGCACTGATGGTTTAATGAGTACAGGACACCTTCCCCCCCGCCCAGGATATGGGGCAGGAAAGGCAGGGCTTGGCTTCTCCCCATGAGCTGCCATCAGGGCAGAAGGGGGTTGAACCCCACTTTCTCCCCCCTCCTGCCCGGGTGCTGTGTGCCCTTCCCCGGTTGTGCCCATATGTCTCTGCCCTCTGACCTTGGGGCAGCCAGCTGGTCACATATGGGAGAGAGAGCCCAGAGGATCAAGGCAAGGGGCTGACCCCAGGTCAGTGGGGACTGGGCGAAAGAGGCGTCTTCTGCCAGTGGAGGAGACAGAGAAGCTGTTTATTGCTGGGGAGGGAGGAACAAAAGAGGGGGGTGCCCCTCCCCTGCAGAGGAATCCCACGCTGGCAGAGGTTGGGCCGGTACTGGAGGCAGAAGAGTCTGAGAACGGATCCTGCCAGGTTTTGCCTGGTGCCAGAGCCAGCAACAAAACCCGCAGCACTCACGCCGTCCAGGTCTCTGCTTCTCCTTTGCTGATGGCACTTCAAACATGGGGGCAGCAGGGTGGGCATGTCTTGCAGGCCTGCTTTCCACGCCCACACAAAAGGGGTGGAGCAGGGGTGGAAGAGGAGGAGCTGCCAAGCAATAGAGGGGAGCTGTAGGGGCAGAGGCCAAGGGCAGCCAGGGCACCCCATCCTCTCCTAAGGGCCACTGCTGGGTCCTTTCTGCATGTCAGGCACGATTTGAAGGGCTGTGGTGCTTGTCTGGAACTGAGTCCCGTGGAGTGCCCGAGAGAAGGGGTGCCGTGTTGTGCCCACGCCTACAGAGCCTGCTGGAGGACAGGGCCCCTGCGCTCCTTGGCACTCCTGGGCCTCACCTTGGCCCCCAGCTAGCAAAATTTGTGCTGCCGCCGCCAGGCCTGAATTTCTGAGAAGGGCAGCTTAAGGGTCTGGCAGAGTTTGGGATCAGCCGCCCGGCCGGTGCGGAGAGCACAGAGCATGGCCTTCTTGCAGGCGTCGCCACAGGGCTCGGTGGGCGGGTGGCCTTTGAACCTCAGGTACCAGAAATGCTGGAAGAGCCGCTCATCGGCCTGCAGGCGGTCCAGGAGTTGGTTCCAGTCCGCTGGGAAGGCCACAGGCAGCCCGTAAGTCTCCCGGGCCCCGTAGAGGCGCTGCCACCGAGCCACGGCACCGGGCTGGTTTGCCTGCGTCAAGTTCAAGATGAACGTCTCGTGGTCAAGGACCATGTAGGAGCTGCCAGAGCGGATCCCGTCCACGTGGTAGATCCGATACCCTGGAAGGAAGGCAGGAAGGGTTACTGGCTCAGTTCTGGCCCTCTGCCAGGAGGGAGGGAGGGAGGGAGTTAGCACCTCACCTGGGTTGAGTTTGATATAGGTGGTAACGCTGGGAGCCAGGAAGGCGATGCCCACCGGCCGGGAGATGGTCTCCTCATCGTAAAAAAGCTCAAACCCGTCCAAGTGGGTGTGGCCAAAGAACTGCCCAGCGATCGTGCCTTCAAACCTGCAGGGAGAGAGAGAGAGGCAGGCCTGAGCAGGGCTCCCCAGACCTTTGTCCTGGCTGGCTGGACAGCCAAAACCGGCTGAGCAGGAATCTGGCTTTGCGTCTGCTGCCCGGAAGATGGGGGTGGCGGCGGGGAGAGAAGGGGCACCCCCGGGAACACGAGCACCACAGTTTGGCCTCCGTGAGAACCAGGACTACGAGACTAGCAAGGAGGCAGCCAAGTCTCAGCACGGGCCCTGAAGGAGACGCCCAGGGGGTCAGCAGAGACCCCCGGATGGGGAGGTCCTTCCCCATTCAAGAATGCAGCGGGGTCCAGGGCAAGCGAGATGATGTCCTCCCTTGGCATCCATCTTCAGGGGAGAGGTGTGCAAATGTGCAACACTCTCGCTGCCCAGGGCTTAACCAGCCTGGCAATACGGCCTTATAAAGGGTAGAACGCGAAAGGTGGCCGGACAGAGCTGACCTCGCCCAATCTCGGAAGGCTAAGTAGAACTGGACCTGGAGACGCGCCAGGAGTCCCCAAATTTGTAGAGTGGACTACAAAGCCTCTCCAGAGAGCAACACTGGGGTCCTCACTTCCAGGTGATGGCCATGAGAGGCGGCTACCATTTGACCAAGGATGGCATAAGGCTCCTGCCTTGAGCAGGGAGTTGGACTAGATAGCCTCCAGGGGGCCCTTCCAGCCCTAGGATTCTATGTTTTGTGTGCTCCGGAAGTCAGCAGGTGCCAGCCTGGGCCTGGGGAGTGGGAAGGCCCACTGGCAGGCCCTGCTGGGGGTTATGGAGCACATACCCCAAGGAAGGGGGTCTGCAGAAATCAGACCGCAGCCGGCATTAAGGAAGCTTTCCTCACGCAAAGGGAGCAGCTCAGCCGTTGCCTCACCACCTGCTAAGGTTCAAATTCCAGCTACCCAAAGAATTCCCCAGAAGCAAAGGGTTTTCTCACTAGCTTGGGGAACGGGAGCCCCCCTTGGCTGCTGCCCCCCTTCGGAAGGCAAACTTTCTGGGGGATGTGAGGGGCTGCTGCCCCCACCAAATCAGAGCAGCAACAACTGTGACCCGTGACTGAGCCGGGGCAGCTGAAGCGGAGTTAGTGATGGGGGGGGGGACTGCAGGCACCCGAGCAATGGGGAGAAAGGAGCCAGAGAGGCCTTCAGCAGCCCCCCCCCCCCGGCAGCCCCTTCCCAGTTGGTGACTGTCCTTGGAGGGAGGACCCGCATCCGGGACGGGCAAGGGGTGCCGGCTTGCGGGAGGCTCTGCACTCAGCCTGGCGCAAGCACTTGCTGGAGATGCCCCTTCCTGGGTGCCAGGCTGGGCAGAGCAGAGCAGAGCAGGCACGGGCGCGCCATACCTGTTGATGATGCGGTAGTAATTCCAGCCCCAGCTCTGCAGGCAGTGGGAAGGCGGGATGTGCCCGATGATGTGGACCTGCAGGGGAGGAGGGGTGTCAGGGGGGGCAGCAGCACAGGGCACCCTCCGGGGACCAGAGCTTGTCCGAACGGGCAGGTTTCCCCGCTCGCCCTTTGCCCTGCTTCCGAGCAGGCCACCTCATGCTCTGGCTTGGCCCGGCCTGACCCGGTTCCTGCCCAGCGCCACCCCTGCCCACCCCGGCTCACCTTCTCGCCACTTTCCTCCGCCCTCTGCAGGACGCCCACCAGCCACTGGAGCTGCCCGGCCGGGTCGGTGGAGTTGATCAGGAGCCAGAAGTTGGCCTCGGAGCAGAAATTCATGTTGAGGGAAACCAGGCGGAGGCCTCGCCAGATGGGGAGGGTGTAGAAGCCCCCCAGCCTGCCAGAGAGGAGGCAGGAAAGTCTCAGGGAGGGGAGGACTTGTGGAACACCCCCACCCCCACCGAGGGGGGGCTTCCTTCCTTCCATCGCCACCCACCAAAACCTCCAGTGATGGAGTCCCCAGGCCTCCAGAGCAGGCACATGTGGCAACTTCAACAACTGTGGACTTCAACTCCCAGAATTCCTGAGCCAGCATAGCATAGCACAGAATTCTGGGAGTTGAAGTCCACAGTTGGTGAAGTTGCCATGATCGCCCAGCCCTGCTTCAGAGGGAGGGGACTGTGCCCTGGGCAGAGGCAGCCTGGCTGGTGCCACGGGGCTCTGCCACTCGCCCACGCCCAGGCCGAAAAACTCTTAACCAAGCAGAGGAAGCAGCCTTCTCTCCGAGCAGCCTTCTCTTTCTCTCTCTCTCTGTCTCCCACAAGCCATTTTCACCCTGGGGCCCAGGAGAGGCTTGACGATAGGCACATGGCAGAGTCAGGCCCCCTCCCCAAACAAAGCTGCCCCCCAAGGATGAGGTTGCCTAGTTTGGGTAATGAAACAGCTGCAGGAACACAGTCCAGCTCAGAGAGGACCAAGCACCCTTCAAAGCCGGCTTTGCACGCAGAAAGGTTTGTAGTCACGTCAATAGAGTAGCCGCAAAAACAGTCCAAGCTGCCTTACGGGGCTGTTGCTGTCGTGGGGAAAATAGGCAGAGATTTTCCCGGCACGGCTGACTGAGGAATTCTGGGAGTTGAAGTCCACGGGTCTTAAAGTGGCCAAGTTGGACACGCCTGTTTTAAAGCCTCTCCTGAGCCTGGCCACAGAAAGGGAGCAGCAGCCGTGAGGCTCTACCTGGCGAATCCAGGAGCTCCGATTCTCACGCCTGGCAAAGCCCAGATGTTTTGCTGAGCACAAAGGAAGGCAACTGGCTGCTTTGGCAACAAGAAAACAAGAACCAGGAGAGCAGGTTGCACCATCCTGGTCAGGACTGCAGCGGAAGCAAAACTTTCTTGCTATGAAGATTAATTAATTTATTTGATTTCTATAGCCACCCAGCTTGGCCAAGCGACTCGGGTTAGGGCTTACAATTCTAACTCCAGAATCCTGGAGCTTGGCTCTCCCAAGCTGTCGTTCCTCCTGGACAGCTCCGGTTACGGGCAGCAGCCACAGCTCAGGAAAAGCAGACCAAGCCGCTGTCCGGAGCCCTTGGCCCCAAGCCCGTGGGGTGCGCGAGGGGCTGCTCTTTCTGGAGGCCTGTCCTGGGGGGCGAGGGTCCAGCTCCCAGTGGCTGGAGGCTGCCAGAGGCTGAAGGGCCTCCCCCTGGCCTGGAATTGTTTATAAAAAACATAAGGAAGGGTATAATGAAGACACTTGGGGCAGAGCTGCCAGGAGGAGAGGAAGGAGGCCAGTGGAGTGGGGGGGGGGAGTTGAACTTTATTTATTGTTATCATTGGGAGATGTGTTGATGACGCCCAGGGCAGGTCCCTGCTAAGGCCACCTGGAGAATGGGGAAGGGGGGAGTGAGGATCTGGCCCCCAGGGAAGGCGGGGGAGTGCCAAGCCTGGACCTCCACCCAGCCTTGACTCCCAGGTGGGCAAATTGCCTGGATCTG